CCTGCCTACATCTCCACAGATGAGCCAACATCAATGCATCCGCAAACTTCGGCTGCCCAGCCCCGCACAGTTTCTTTTCAGGTGCCGCATGCGCAACGAGCAAGCCCTCTGGGAGCAACCACACCTGCGCCGACCGCAGCACCGTCGAGACCCAGCCTACTAAACGCCCAGCCAGGACCTTCATCGGGGTTGCCTCCTCACCAGGCAACTTCTAGGGAGGGAGTGGCTGTGGCGGCCTCGCCCAGCTTGCCGTTGCAAGCATCAGGAGGCGCCACGTCTCAGCAACCCGCGCGGCGAGCGCGAAAGCAGACGCTGGTCCCTCGCAGCGACTTCTCTTCACGAGCATCGTCATTCGCTTTCGACGCCGGTTGCCAAGCAGTGCACTCGTCTTGCCTTGGCACCTCGGGCGCTGCTTCGTCGAACAAGCTTTCGGCACGCCTTTCCACGTGTGCGTCACATTAGCTCCCCATGCTCGCATCTCCTCAGCTCTGGGGGATCGAGCATGCCTGTATAAGTTTGCAAATTAGTGTAAATAAATTCGTTTTTGTCATTTACTGAACAACGTGCATCTCAGGCTCTAATTCCCTCTTGCAAGTTGTGTCGTCATCCAAATCCTCGCCTACAACCCTGGAGCGCATAGCGTCTCCACTCCTAGTCACTTGAACCTCAACACATGTGCGCGGGTGTGTGTATATTTGTATATAATATATAAGTAAATAGTTTAAATAGCTTATACAAAATTATATACATATATTATTTATATGTATTCAATATATAACTATTTGTGCTTATATTTACAATAAGTTCAAACACTAGCGATTACTTTTCCTTATAGAGTAAATGAAATAAATGCCATTAACAAAATCTAAAATAAAAATAAAAAATAAAAAAATTGAATTAAAATCATGGTTTAATAACGGCAATGGCATTTTATTTTTTATACACTTAGATATTACTGACTATTAGATATTCTTACGTTATTCTGTACACTTTTAAGCAAAAGATTTTCTAGCATCACTGTGCTCTTGTGCTTTTTTTTATAATTTTAACTAATAATAATCTATGCTGTGACTTTTATTGAAATATTTTGGAAAGTTTTTAGTTGTTATTTCCTCAGCTATGGCAGTTAATTTTTTCAAAAGATCTACTTCCGACTAAAGATTGGAATGAATGCCCCCCCCCCCCCTTAAAATAGTCGAAATACGTCTAATCCGGAAATTACAAGCTAACTTTTTCAGGTCATTCTACATGTAAAAACAGTAAGTTTTGCACCATCCGTATCTTTCTATCCCTCATCCCCGTTAAACTTAGAAAAACGGTGTTTTTCTTAAAAAAAAAAAAAAAATGTTTTCTTCGGAACTAAAAAAGCTTAAATAATATGTGGTTATTCTACTGGAAAAGTTCCATTGAAAACCATTGAAAATAAATGAATGGTTTTCAATCCTCGATTTTAATCGTAAAAATTACCATCAAAAATTTTTGGAATGCAAGGAGGCAGATGATGGGCAGATTGAAATCTATTGAAAATTATTAACCATGAAACGATAGGTTACGATTAATTTCTATTCAAAATTATTATCTTAAATAGTTTTGAATAGGAAATTTTACCATTCAATCTAACATTTTTAATCGAGTTTAATGATTCCGCTTAAATATAAAATATATTATTTTTAAAAAAAATTGTATTTAATATATATCTATATCTTTTAAATTATTTTACAACTAATCTATCAGTGAATAATTATAAATATGAATTTACAGAAATTGACCTTAACCGGACTCGAACCTACGACTCTAAGCATACTAGTTACGCGTTAATCCATTGAACCAAGATTGCTATTAGTATTTCTTACAGGAAAAACTGTTATATTGTGTTGTTTATAGACTAATTATGTATTTTGAAATTCTTTTAAAAATGTTGATAAGTCAACCAATAAATTATTTATAACCGTAAAAATAATTGAATTATCGATAACAAATTATGTTTAATATTTTTAGACAAATTAAAAGTTCAATGAAACCTCTATAGTTTTTTTACACTGAACTTACTCATAACGAACCTTACCTTTGTGAATTTTACATATGATAATTGCAATATATTTCACATGAATCATAAATTAAACATATATATATGGGACGATCCATGTCAACCGGATCACTGCTGTGTCCAAAATTTGATGTGACCAAAAAAATCGTGCAACGACTCATTTTAAAGCTTAGGATATCTACTTTCTGATGCTGTGTGCGCCTTTGCAAAATCCAACATGGCGGCTCCAATATGGCGGCTACAAGAGACAAACTCGTAAACAAAAAATTTTAATTTCAAATTTTTAGTAATAAATGATAAAAAAATTAATATTTCATATATTTATGAAAATCTGGCTCATTTCCTACAAAAAAGTAACAGAGACCATTTTCGCTAAAATGAAAAATAAAAAAGTTATAATTTTTTGAACATTTTCAAAAATAAAAAACTTTGCGATTTTTTTACTCAGAAGGAAATGACTTTGGAAAAAAAATTTAAGGAACAAAATTGCTTGAAATTCATCAAAACACAAGTGTGAATTTTTTCGAATTCCTTTGAGCGATTTTTTGCTTTTTGGATTTATCGGATTGTTTGAAAAAAAATTGAAAAAAAATTAAAAAAATTCCCAAGATCTTTGACAAAAATTCAAAAAAATCGCTCAAAGGAATTCGAAAAAATTCACACTTGTGTTTTGATGAATTTCAAGCAATTTTGTTCCTTACATTTTTTTTCCAAAGTTATTTTCTTCTGAGTAAAAAAATCGCAAAGTTTTTTATTTTTGAAAATTTTCAAAAAATTATAACATTTTTATTTTTCATTTTAGCGAAAATGGTCTCTGTTACTTTTTTGTAGGAAATGAGCCAAATTTTCATAAAAAAATATGAAATATTAATTTTTTTAACATTTATTACTAAAAATTTGAAAAATAAAATTTTTTGTTTACGAGTTTGTCTCTTGTAGCCGTCATATTGGAGCCGCCATGTTGGATGTTGCAAAGGCGCACCCTATTGAAAAAAAAACATCATTTAAAGACGTCATGAAACGACGTCTTTAAATGACGTAATTTATTGACATCGTTTATGTCACAAATTGGAACACTTGGTTCGTCATTATGAAATGACGTCATTTTGTTGATGATATACTGAAAGACGTCATTTTTGCACCCTTATTTTTGACGATAAAATAATGTCATTTTTAGAAGCACATCTTTTTTTAAATGATTTTTTCTGCAGGTAGATCAGATCAATGACAGGATTTTGAAACAGCCATTGTTTTCTTTAATGTTTGCTACTATGAATTAATGTTATTTGAGATAGGGTCGATCTTTGCACCGAATTTGAAGGAATAATGACATCGTTAATAAACGTAATATCACGTAAAAAAATATTTACATCATTTTTTTTCTAAGAATTCACGTTATTTAAGTATTACATAATATTTCAAAAAGTTTTTACCATAGAATATACAGTAACAGAACAGCATATTAATTTTACATTGGTTTATTAAGAAAATAAACAATAAATTTGACGGTTACGTCAAGTTTTACAATATAAATGGATATAATATAATGTTTTTCTTTCAATTATACTCCATAAAAGCGAAAAAAAAACACAAGAAAAAAAACTGCTAGAGAATTACCTAAAGCAAAAATTTGAATAAAAAGAAGGGAAAAGTCGCACTTACAATAAAAGTAACGGGTGAACATCTTATACTAATTCGTCGAAATTATAATGAATACCAACGCTTTTTCTTTCGTATTGGTTACTTATTTTTAACACATTCGCTGCTACAGCGAAACAAGCTGTTTTTTCCGGTGGTGCTGAACGTATAATATTTTGAGAATTCATGATATTAAATTACTATTAATCGGTTTTCTGGGATAGGTGTGGCATCTTATAACTCACCAATAACCTAAGTACGTATGACCCATAATGAGTCATGCCGCATCATGCATTTCTATAATTTTTATAAAAAAATTGTTTTTAAACAATGTATTGTATTGTTAGTAACTTAAAGCTAATTGAATGAAAATTCGACAGTGTACTGTATTGTATTAAATCATTATTTTCAGCTGTTACAACAGCGATTGTATGCTTAAAAATAAATATGCCATTTAAAGTTTTTTAACAATTATAATGCTTTCAATTTGAAAAATTAAAATTTTGTTGCAACAACTATTTGCTCGAGCAATATTATAATTTAATGCACGAACTTAATATCTTCTATTAAAACTATCAAACATCTGTTAAACTTTTAATTAATTTAAAACTAATAGAATACATTTCAAATCTTGCGATAAATTTCAATATACGCATTAATAATCGTTGATCTAGAATAATATTAATACTCGTTAAGCGGACCAGATGGGGTTGACCAGTAAAAATTTGATAATTATTACCCCATTGAAAATCTGTATATAGATTTTATGCTGAATTTACACAACTTTTGTATAAAAAAAAATTTAATAAACTTTGTAGAAAAACTTGTATAAAACTTGTACGAAAGTTGTATAAATTTTTGATAGTTTTGTTGAACAAACAACTATCCATTTTTACTGTTAATCAATTTCCAATGGTATCTCTTCATATTCCTCAAATGCGTCTTGTATATTGGCTTCAGATTCATCAACACCAGCTTGTTCACAAATTTTTAGTCTCTTAAAATAATTGTTCCTTACTTGGTTAATTATGACCCCGAGATCACGACCAAAACGTGCAATAGTTGCATTCCTTTGTTTATCTTTTGCTGCTGTCTTGACATTAGTTTTTATCAATTTCTTCTTCAACAGAAACTGAATATAGGCTTCTGTAATAATAAAAATAGGGATTTGTAACATTAGTTGCTTTTTCCAAGATTATAATAGTTTTTATAAAAAATTGTGAGTTATTCACTTTTTAAAGCTACAAATTGCCTTGCAGGTACCGGTTGTCTATCCTCAGGAGTTTTGGTACGATCTATAGCGACAGCTAATTTGATAAATTCTTTCAGTGGCCAAATATGTAGCACCAGTTCTCTCAAAAATCCTTTGCCAGTTTTAGCTTTCGTCAGAGCACTACACCAGTTTTTGTATGGCACAGACACTCCGTAATGGATTTGGAACATGTGAATCTATTTAAAGATAATGATGCGTACACATTTAGTGTAACAATTAAAATAAATTTCAATTAATATATACATACTTTTATTGACTTTCCATTTTCCTCTCGAACCGTGGATGTCCAGCTTGACAATTTTTCATGTTTTTCAAGAACAGACAGTGCATAGTCATCCGAATCGTAAGTCACATCTTTTGTCTTTCTCACATAATGTGAATTCTTCTGAAGTACTTTAATATTCTCTGGAGTTGATATGGTTTTTCTTTTTTTATCGGTGTGAGTTTCATCTGGAAATGCATCATTCAAACAGCTTGATATCGATGGATGTGGAGATTTGTGATGCTCAGCAGCAGACTTTGAAGCAAGAGGAATTTTTTTCTTACAATCACGTAAGCTGATGCTGGGAGAAACCAATGCATGTGTGGATCAATTTTTTGCTCTTTTTGATTCTAATTCTTTCAGCAATTTAGCTATTTGTTCTTCTTTGGTTTTTAAAACCTCTGCTATGTCAATTTTTTTATCAGGATCTTCTTCTAAATCAAAATTCAAATTAGTTTTCTGCATTGACGAAATTTTTATTGCTGCAGCTTCATAAGTACTGGCAAAGTCCGGTGCTAAAGGTACCTACATAAAGAAAAAAATTAAATAAATTATTATACAGAAGAGATAGCAAATCTGGAAAAGTATACACATTCAATTAGGAAAAAATATAGTGAGAAAATCATGCAAAATTTGATACGTACATTGTTATTTTTTGGGCTCCTCTGTACATTGTCTATATTTTTTTTACGTTTTGATTTTGGTTTATTCACAACTTCCTCTTCATTATTCATACCTTCTTTAGCTAGCTGATTTAAAACATCACTTCGCCTTTGGTTGGGTTTTGGCCATCTGGTACTTCGAGATTGGAGTTCAGTTAAAGAATCTATACAATGAAAGTAAATAAAATTATTTCTTTTCGAGTCAATATACACAATATTGCATTATTATAATACTTACTTGATGTCCCCAAAACTACTGCAGGTTCATAAATTATTTCTCCATCCTCATTTTGACCATTGGCTACAAAGCAATTGTAGGGAAAATTTTTGTCGAATCTGTCAAAATTTTTTATTTTGTTCTCCTGTACGAATTGCACTTTACGACTTCCAATATAAATGCGAGTAGCAGCGAAAAGAGTTTTATTTTCAACTGCATATTTACTTTTGTATTTACATATTTACATTTGTATTCACATTGCCCAAATGCTTTGCTACAGGTGTTATCAAGCTGACAGTGTGACTTTCTAATTTTATTAACAATTGGCTTATCAGAAAGCATTCAAGCGAGGAGGAGAGTACCTTCACAACGTACTTTTGGATGAAAAAGCTATGTCATCTATGATATATTATGGTAATGTATTTTGTAAATTTTGCAATCTATTACTTTATCTTTCTTTCATTTCAAGTCAGTCTTTTTGTATGTGTACCTCAATATCTGATAACATACATGTTGTAGCAGCTATATATGTAGCTTTACTGTAATTAATTTATTTAGTATACGAGAAGACTTTCAGTTTTACAATAATTTGTGAATTTCTTTTCAGATGATCATCGAACAAAGTTTGGGCTGACAGACTACGTAGAGGGATAGAAAGGAAATGCTTGCTGAACTCAGTTTTGGTAATGTACCTTTTTAAATGTAGTGAAAATCATCCTCTTTTTTAACATTTCATAGTTTATGTTAGTTTGAGATAGGTTTTAATAATAGATTTTATGTGACATTTCTAAGGTTTGCTTCATCGAAGAAAATAACTTCTCTTTCAACTTGTTTTGTGGACAAGTTTTACTGTCACGAATACATTTTTTATTGTAAGTATAAATGCAATTCACTAATAACTCAAATAATAAAGTGTTAAAAAAGTTCTCTTAAATAAAATAACATTAAAATGGCAATGTACTCACTGTGTCAGTAATTGTTATTACAATATATTTGATTTTTACAGCTTCCTTAGTAAACGTAGATAATGGCTCACTATAACAGAGGACGATGTGATCCCACTGCGGTCACACCCAGAACAACAAGATACAATCGCGAAAGACGAAGGTGCGAAGAATCAGATTCAGATTCCAGCGACAATAGTAACAGATGGAGAGAAGAGTACGCAGTTAGTATTAAATTTTGTATAAAAATGTAATGCTTGAATGAAAAAGTGTTTTTAACATATGTAATTCAATTATTTTAGCAAGTACAAGAAATTTGGCAAATGTACCAGCATCAGCAGGAGCAAGATTCTGATAATGAGTCGGTGCAAAGCCTTGAACCTCCTAGTTCGGAAAACGAAAGTCTTGAAGTTAGGCACGAACAAGTTATAATTCAAGTTTATATAAGAAAATAATTTTTATTTTCAGGAATACGTTTTAATATTAGATTGACTTTAAATATTTATTTCATAGGAATCGGAATCAAATGCATCATCTTACGCTTCTGTTTCCGTAAATGAAGACAACAGTGAATCAACAGATGGTACAATAGATGATATAGAGGTAAGTTTATAAAACTTTCTTCATTGTACTATCAGTCGAGTCAGCAAAGATAAAAGTGTGTCCCCTATTTTCCCCTTTTTGAACATTTTCCATCGTAAAGTAATGGCTTTTTTATCGACAAAATATGACGGCGTACATGATTATGTACATTGAAATGGACGAAAAATATTGTTTAAGGACTCATTTTCTTCGTTAGAATCTGTAATGAAATTTGAGCGGATCACTTTTTCAAAAAACAAGTTTTTTCATTTTTTCAAAAGTGCAAGCTCAAATTCAAGTACAGATGTTAATGAAAATAATTAGCTGTTACATATTTTTTGTTCGACAGCTACAAATTATTGTGGATTTTTTATTATAAAAGCGCTGAATAAAACACGCGAAAATTGACTTTTTATAGCAAACATATTATAAATCTGTATTTTTATTTTCTATTCGTTGTCATTGTTCAGGATCTACTGCTCGAGGAACTCGATGATGGAGGTGCTAGTGAAGAAGATTTTTTTGATTATCAAGAAATCATTGAGAATAACCCCCTATTTCGTGCTGGAAATCGATTGCAGAAAATAATAGACGACGACGATGCAGCTAATATTATTGGTGCTCGGATTGATGTCTCAAAGGTCGAAATTTTTATATCGATTATCAAGTTTTCTTTAGTTTATCATTTACCACAATCAGCTATCGCGGATTTATTAAAAATGCTTAATGTTTTTTTCGATACAGCTGATTTACCTTAATCGCGATATATGATTGACAAAATTTTCAATGATATCAGTCATGTCGACTATTTTGCATTGTGCCCAAATTGTAAGAATTACGTACGAAGATTTGACCGTGAGAAGGATCGCAATGCTTATTGTGGTCTATGTAATTTAAATTTTTCTTTGAAAGATCCTACATATACAGATTTCTTTTGTATCATAAACCCTCAATCGGAAATAGTTTACTATCTTGAAAAAAATTGGTCGTATTACGAGTCCGTTATTGAAGCTAGAACACGTAATCAAGAGGATATCAATGAATTCCATAGTGGATTAATATGTAAAAAACTGCGAAATTTATTACCCAATCATAAGAAAGACCGATTCGTAACTGTTACATTTAATAGCGATGCATCGCCTGTATTCGAAAGCTCTGCGTTTTCTGTAACGCCAATTCAAATAATGATTAATGATCTGCCTTTCAAAGTAAGAATTTCTAACCCGATTGTTTGCGGTTTCTATTTTGGTAAATCAAAAATCGACATGAACGTTTTTTTTCAGCCATTTGTAATGCAAATGAATACATTTTCCGATGAAGGAATAGGATGTAACATAAAAGGTACCGATCAGACTATTTATGTATATGCGATATGTTCTTGCGTTGATTCCATTGCACGCGCTCCAATGCAGGGACTTACTCAGTTCAACGGTTATTATGGATGCAACTGGTGTTTGCATCCAGGGTATTATATAGCTCTTGGTAGAGGGGGTAGCGTTAAATATATTTTAGTAGACGAAGAAGTAGTTGATAGAAATGATGCGGATACTCGTCGACAAATGCGAGAGGCTGTCGAATCTGGACAAACCATTATGGGAGTTATGAACTATTCAGTACTGTGTTATTTACGATACTATGATATTATTTGGGGATTTGTTCCTGATTCCATGCATTTTATTGATTCAGGTATTGGAAAACAATTTATGAAGTCTTGGATTGATGTTAAAAATTTGCCTTACTCATTAACTAACGTAGAAATTGATATGATTGATAACTTCATGAAAGCCCTGAAAGTGCCTTATAAGGTAATTCGAAATTCTCGCTCTATACGAGATAGAAGATTTTGGAAAGCCAAAGAATATCAAAACTGGATTTTATTCTATAGTACTATGGCTTTGTTGATGATTCCTCGTATGCGAGCTTACATGTTACATTGGTGTCATCTAGTAAGAGCCTACTATATTTTGTTACAAGAAAATATTACTATCGATCAGCTACGTGAAGCACATCGTTTATTAGTAATATTTGTTACCTTGACAGAAGCTTATTATGGAAGAAGTGCAATGACTTATAATTTACATCAGTGTCTTCACGTAGTACAAAGTGTCAGAAATTTTGGTTCTTTGTATCAGCATTCTGGATATGGATTTGAAAATGGGAATGAAGAAATTGCAAAAGAGGTACAAGCTGCTAAAGGTGTTTTGCACCAACTTTGTAGAGTTACTGGGATGCGTAAAAGTGAATTAGTTTTAAGAAAGTTTCTGTTACAAAACCATCCTCATTCTAATGTTCTTCCGTACGTTGAATATTTGGAAAAGAAAAAGTGCATCAAAGTTCTCAAAACTGATATTGGACGATATTTTGGTGTTCCTGCCTTCCGACAGATCAATGGATAGCAGAACTAAATTTATCCAGCTCAGCGGTACTTTATTTAAAATTAATCAAAAATGAGTGTACTTACTTATCTTGCAATAAAGTACGATTGCGAACAAATAATTCATTTGCTAAGACAATTGATAACACATTTATTCAAATTGTGTTCTTTATTGTTGATACAGTAAGCAGACAGGAATATACCATATGTAAGAGCGCAAATGTTGTAAACATGATGGATATAGATACGTACATTCCTGATTTTCAAATAAAAAGAATATTGTCAATTGATCAAAATTTGCGAGCTATAGATACTGGTACAGTTGATAGACCTTGTGTTCACATGAATTGTAAAAATGAATCTTATTTGTGCGCTCTGCCGAATGTGCTCTCTTATTAAATAGATATGTAGTGATAGAAATAGTTTATTCGTTTATTTGTCTATTATAGGACACTTTTCTCTCTCGTAGTTTTTTTTATTATATGATGATATTTACAAGAAAGAAAAAAAATTGTACATTATATTAATTGACTCAAGCGTCAACTTTATTTTTTATTTGCTTAATAAAACGTTGTAAAATTAATGTTCTGTTCTGTTACTGTATGTATATTAAAATGTAATATGATGCGCTACAAATAACGTGAACAACAAATGACGTGAATTCTTAGGAAAAAATGACGTAAATATTTTTTTACGTGATATTACGTTTTTTAACGATGTCATTATTCCTTCAAATTCGGTGCAAAGAACGACCCTATCTCAAATAACATTAATTCATAGTAGCAAACATTAAAGAAAACAATGGCTGTTTCAAAATCCTGTCATTGATCTGATCTACCTGCAGAAAAAATCATTTAAAAAAAGATGTGCTTCTAAAAATGACATTATTTTATCGTCAAAAATAAGGGTGCAAAAATGACGTCTTTCAGTATATCATCAATAAAATGACGTTATTTATTTGCCAAAAATATTTTTGGAGGAAAATGACGTCATTTCATAATGACGAACCAAGTGTTCCAATTTGTGACATAAACGATGTCAATAAATTACGTCATTTGAAGACGTCGTTTCATGACGTCTTTAAATGATGTTTTTTTTTCAATAGGGCACACAGCATCAGAAAGTAGATATCTTAAGCTTTAAAATGAGTCGTTGCACGATTTTTTTGGTCACATCAAATTTTGGACACAGCAGTGATCCGGTATATTTGAGGTTAGCTATAATATTTGAATCATTTTCAATAATACAGTCGAACTCCCGGCACTTCTCGTTGCGGCACTTCTTGCGCCCCCGCACTTCTCGCTGGCTGCGCCGCGGCACTTCTCAAAGGGCAGGGCCGTACACTGCCCCTTGCGTACCAGGGGGTCTCTCTTTCTCTTACGGTCTTATTGGAAGGCTTATTCTTCCCTCTTTATAATTTCAATAAATTTCCGAATATGTATGGATAATCCGACTTCAAACTTTTAGTTTTATGGATACACATACATAATCTGACTTTAAACTTTTAGTTTTATGGATGCAGATAATCCGATTTTAAACTTATGAACCCCTTTATAATGATTTTACACTAACAAATTAGAATCTGACAAAAAAAAACGCGATAGAGAATGTCTTAGATTTTCTCGTCAAACCAATTGATGCTTTTAATTTTTTTAAAGAAAAAAAAATTTTCCTATTTATTTTTATAATAAACAAAATTTTTAGCGATTTATTTTTATAATAAAAATGTAACAAAAATATAAAAAAATATGGTATTAAAAAAAAGAAGTATTTCGTTCGTTCATGTTTTACAAAGAAATTAAATAACTAATTATTGCCTATACATATGTAGAAATCATAAATAAAATTTATTTGCGTTCAATTTTTTAAATTATAAAAAAAAAAGTTGACTATCATATTAATTATACTTTGTTGTTAACGTATGAATTTTGTTTAATATAAGGCACAGCTGCTTATTTTGAACTAACTATTTTTGAGTCCCCCAAAGGGCCCACGCGGCAAGCTACAGTATGCCCATACCTGGCCGTACGCTCTGATTGGCTGCCGCTCACCGAGAAGTGCCAGGGCGAGCTACTCCCGAGAGCGAGAAGTGCCGGGGGTTCGACTGTACTTAACGTCATGTAATCACTATATTCTCTATATTCTGTCCTCTTCATCACTTTTCCTCTTTCGACTTTCGACTCTGCTACTTGGACAGACTTTTAAGCGCCGGCCGTTATTGTTATAGGCTCTCTCTAGATAAGATCTGAGGGTCAGAAAACCGCGCGGTATTTTGCCACAGTCCGCTGTTTCGCTCTGTTCCAACTCTGTATTAACAATAGTTAAAAGCAATCTGGCAATAGCGTTGTGATATGTCGGGATTAGAACATGTAAACACTAGATTAAAAGAAAAAAATATGTATAAATAAAAATAATGTTGATCTATAAAACTACACAAAATAACAATATCAATGAAAAGAGTTATTTTAGTAAATTAATTAGTTACTTTCTTCTAGTCAACTGTGTTTGCGTGTTTTAACCTCAACATCTCACAACGCTATTACCAGATTGCTTTTAAATATTGTTAGTACAGAATTGGAACAGAGAGAAACAGCGGACTGTGGCAAAATACCGCGCAGTTTTCTATTCCTCGGATCTTATCTGGAGACAGATTTAGGAACGCTACCGTCAACTTTTGCTCAATTCTGAATTCCGTAATATGGGATACGGCTTGACAATCTCGCTATTCATCACCTCCCTTACCCTAGCCTGCAAAGTATAATGGACAGTAAAAATAAAAAATACCATTCGAAACATCTCTAATTGAACCCTCCAAAAATGCTCATTATTTTAATTGAGCCCCTTCAGTTGTCCCAAAAAAAATTAAAAACTGTGATAATTTTTTCGTTTTTTGTAACTGCGATATCTTTAGTAATACTTAATATTTTTGTAAAAGAAACAAGGCAAAAAATTGAACCTTTGCTCGTTTTAATTGCACCCCTCTCACTTTTTCAAAATTATTAATATATATGTCAAAAACAAAATCTAACTTTATTGTATGTTCTTTTCAAATAGATTATTGGGTTATTGGGTTATTTGGAAAGAACATACAATAAAGTTAGATTGTTGTTTTTGACATATATATTAATAATTTTGAAAAAGTGAGAGGGGTGCAATTAAAACGAGCAAAGGTTCGATTTTTTGCCTTGTTTCTTTTGCAAAAATATTAAGTATTACTAAAGATATCGCAGTTGCAAAAAACGAAAAAATCATCATAGTTTTTAATTTTTTTTGGGACAACTGAAGGGGTTCAATTAAAATATTGAGCATTTTTGGAGGGTTCAATTAGAGATGTTTCGAATGGTATTTTTTTTTTTCACTGTCCATTACACTTTGCAGGCTAGGGTAAGGGGGGTCTATTCATCTCTGATACTAGTATCAGAGAATTCTTAGCTGCTACCAACTGCGAATTTCAAATGCCTAAAGACTTAAAACAAATTTTAATTATCTATCCTATTATTGTCTGTGATTACTTTGTAGTAAAGGTAGATTGATATATAACTATTATTGTTTTTATAAATAAATAAATTATTATATTTAATATTCATTGCTATAAATATAGATTAAGATAGATAATCTATAGCTATATTATTTCAATTCTTAGTAATTCTGTTTTATTTAGAAAAATCCTTAATAAATATTTAATATATTTATTAAATATATTAAATACAATACAATACAATACGCATCAATACAGATAATTAAACACATAGCTACAGTTCTTCTATGTTAACCTGTATTAATGGTAATGAATATTAAACATAACAATAATTAATTTATTTATAAAAACAGCAATAATTATATGTCAATCTACCTTTATAATAAAATAATCACAGAATATTATCTATATACTAATATTTATATACAATAAAATAATAGTATACATAACCAAGTTTTTTTTTAAGTCTTTAGGCAATAGGCATCTGACATTATACTTGGAAACAGCTAAGAATCCTCTAGTATACGCTTTACACGTACAGATTCCGTGTTTATTGGAAAGAATGGAGAACTAGCCTAATAGTAATACAAGTCTGGTACAACTACATACTGTGCTAGGTACATGCGCACGAAACAGATGTAGTTTTATTTAGTTTTAGTGCACGTGCACCAAATATGCACTTTCGGTGCACGTGTACGAATGAGAATGCCATTGCGCTGCAGAGAAAAACAGAAGAGAGTGAGAGTATTATGAGAGATTAGTCGTGAAAAGTACTGAAGCGCCCTCAAGGATGAAAGAAACGCAAATGCACATTTATTAAGCCAAAATGATTTAGTGAATATAGTCAAGTATTAAGGCTATCAAGTATAGTTTCATCGTCGTACTACTCGTACTGGCCATCGTTTTCATCAGACGCTTTAGACGTGTGTACGTTTGTGTGTGAGCCTGAGGCGTGAGTCAACATCTCAGACCTTAAAAACATTCTTAATTTTAAATATCAAATAGTTTTTTTAATGTAAACACAAGAAAAGTAGTGAGGGGTATGAAAAGATAATAAGTTACTGTTAAATTCGTTTGACACGGAAACGTCCTCGATCGACTGGACAAAATTAACATTCAAATAATTAGTACTTGTGAAATGCCTTTACGTCGAGCAAATATTGCTGTAACTGAAAGGAAGCAAGAAATTAGCGAGCCACAAAAATCCAGTGTTCACGTAAAATCTCAAGTCACAAAAACAGCTAATAATAATCTTTGAATTGTATTACTTTTCATGCACACTGACATACGTACGATACACTTTGAAATACAACGCTAAGAAATTTGGTTAGTTTTTCTACATCAATTATTTTCCAATATTCATATGAAAACACACACACATATACACAACACATATATAGCTACATGAATGTTGCTTAATTGTGTATTTAATCTGGTCTGTTGGCTTTGAATCTCGGCTATCTGTATTCTTATCACTTACATATGAATGTGTGTGTATTCCTTGTACATGATGTATGTATATAACCAATTGATTGTACATCCAGTCTGTTTAGTATATTTTTCTTTTTCATATTCTATTTATTTCCTTCTCTTAAAAAAATAAAAATAAGTTATTGTTTTGCGGTATTGTTCTCGCAATCAAGCAGCAAATAAAATTTTGTAGGGATGCAAATATCTCTAAGTGATTAACATCTTTTATTCAAATTAACAATTTGTTATAATTTATATTAAAAGAATAAATTACTTCATGACTATATTTGTTATTAAAAAATTTTCAACGAAAATTAGATAGAAGTAGGTGGGCACGTTTATAGGTTATTAACCTAAGTTTATATTACGATAAAACTGATAAGTATTGGTAGTAACAGCACAAATTTACTCGTAAATCACTTGCATTTATTTAGGCGTAATAATTTTGGGTGCATATGCATGAATGTAAAGATGTCTGCTGTGGAAACTCGTTTTCAGCTTAATCATCACTATTTGTAGAATGTTTTTGCATTTACGTCTCGTTGAATTATATCTACAAGAAGAGTGCTATAGGGGCAACTATAACGAAGTAGAGAGAGAAGGAGATAGATTCTTTATTGCGCTGATGAGGTATAAAACATTGTCCGGCAGTTGTGAATTGATACAAGAAAATAAACAAGAGAGAGACAGAGAGAGAGATAGAGAAAGAGAGAGAGAGAGTGAGAGTGTAACAGGGAGGGAAAGAGAGAGGCGATTGACGCAACAGAGAAGAGAGCAAAAAGAACATAACGAAAGAGGAGTGTTCGAGAATAATTGAGTGCGTTATGCCGTATTTTCCGATAATAATTACGTAGGCTCAAACGCCTCATACTCGTAAAGTCGTAGAGTGTAGTTGTGAATAGAACAAGTGCAAAAGTAACATCTGGTGTTCAATGTGTACATGTAAAAATGCATAAATTGAGAATTCCCGTGAAGGTCGAATTGCCCGCCGCATTAACCAGGTACGGAAAGCCTGGCTATCAACTATTTCTATACTTACTTCCACACCTTAGCATAATGAAGTATCGATGTGATGTGTACACTACAATGACGCATTCAGTTCTTGTGTCCATCTAGTTAGTAGTTTGGCTACATGTAGGTCGTGTTGTTTTTTATATTCTATTCGACGCGTTTTACACTGTTATCAGACATTCTATGTTTTCAAATAACTTTTTGCAACAAACTATCATCCCTTTTCTTTTTTACAAATAAGTTTCTATGATCAATTTTTACTATTCAATCCTGTGAATGTACTGTGATTCCAGTGATACTATATTCAAGTTCAGTTTATCAATAGGAACAATTTTTCAAGTAATCTTAATCTATGAATAAATATTTAATATGATTTTTGAAGTATGTCAAACGTTTTGCTACGTTTCATGTCAACAATTATCTTATACACTACTTTAGTACTAAAGTGGTTGATACATAAACTTTTTACACCGCATGCGATTTCTTTTCAACTGACTATAACAGCAGAGTAAGTGACGGAATACATGTCTTTTTAGAATCTTTTAAAATATCGTGCAATTGTATTATTTTGCAGATTTATATTATTAATTTCGTAGGTGTTTTTTGTATATCTGATTTATATTTTGTTTGTTTGTCGTAATGTATACTCTGAGACCTTGTCAGCATGTCAATATTAAGAATTTTATTTGTTGTGATAATTTCAAACATATCTAATTTTTTCCTTATTACTTAAAGATGAGAATTCAATATAAGATTAACTTTTTTGTTTATCATTACTTTATTAGTTCGTTAGTTACAATAAAGTACTTTTAGTCATCAATTACTGTTTGTGTATAATATTTACTCCATCAATGATAGAAATAGTTATAGAATAATGTAAGTATATCCCACCCACACTGAATCAATTGATTCATCTGTAGCTTGTGAAATGAGTTATATTTATTCATTCCATGCTTAGTTCAGGTTTCAAGTTTAAAGAGTACATACTTATATTTTGATTTTGAATTGAGAACTATTTAAACTTTTTCTTTTTTACCTTTTAGTTAAAAGTATTTAAGTATATTTTTATTTACTTAAAAAAATATTAACAAAATAGTTTCATATGTGCTTTATTTGTACATTAATCAAACAACTTTATAGGCTAGAAACACATAAAGTTTGATATTACATTTTATTTTATATTTTTATGACTATGAGTTCATAATTTTTGTGAGATATTCAATTATCGTATATAACTAACTATGAGTAGAAATGAACAATATATAGCCACAATTTCATTTCTTATCAAAAAATAATTTATATTCTATTTTATAAATTATAATGATCTTCTTCATGATATATATATTATTCTCATTAAAATTAAATAAATAAATATTTGGATAATTTTTCTTTTAATAATAACTCTTATTTCTAATTCAGATTATATTTTCTCTTCAATCTCCTAATAACACAATCAATAACAGAATTATTAAACTCATCAAATGAATGGTATCATAGAAATAAAAGAAATTTATAGGCTAATTTTTATTTATTTTTAGAATGGTATTGGATCCTAAAGTAACTACTCTTCATAACGATTACGGAAGTTTTGACAAACCACTTGGTGAAGGTAGTCAAAATAAAGATACTGAAGCTACTGTTGATGCCAGCAGCAGTGGGATGGCGCAATCCAGTGATGTTTACCAAAGGCAGCCACTGCTTCCTGTTGTACAAACAAAAAGTAAGGATAAATGGGGTGGAGTTGGGTCTAGTTGTGATTATTATGAAGATGAAGAGGATGATAAAATAGATGGATTAAATCATATTTGTCATCAAAACATACAAAATCGATCTGGCAGTGGCATTATTAAAATTGACATACCAGCTCCACTCAGAGAAGAACCTCGTTTCCCTAAAGAGAAGTGGAAAACCTTTATTGGTTAGAACATTTTATGAATGTGAACTAAAATCATATTGGTTTATCTAACAATTCAATCTAACATTATGAATATAAATTTGCAGCATTCCTGTTTATGGTTGTAAATTTTATACTGACCACTACTTCTCTCGCCATGGTTCATGATCGGGTACCAGATCGAATACCTCTCCCAGATACAGTTTTAGATAATATTGCTCCTCAAGATTGGGCTCTTGATGTATCTGAAATCTTAATAATGATAATGACCAGTTTTGCAATGATTTTTATTATTTTCCATAAACACAGGTAATGAAAATCAGCTTTATTGACTAGATAGTTTTGATTTATAGACATAGTAATTAAAAAAGTTTATTTACACAGATTTATAGTTATTAGACGTGTATTTTTATTAATGGGACTATTATATCTGATGAGAAGCATTACAATGTATGTCACTGTACTTCCAGTGGCTAGTAAATCCTATTATTGTAGTCCCAAAATAAATAGTACAAGTCCACTAATTGTAACTCAACGAGTTCTTCAACTAATATCTGGATTTGGATTGTCAATCAATGGCAAACATACATATTGCGGCGATAACATATATAGTGGACACACAGTTGTGCTAGTTCTTTGTTATTTAATTATTAAAGAATGTAAGCAAGAAAATGGCATTTTCAATGATTTGCACAGGAATAATTTTAATGTAAATCTGTCATTTTTATAGATTCACCAAAAAAATGCCACCCTATTCATTGGCTGGCAGGAATATCTTCATTTGTTGGAGTGATTATGGTATTAATTTCTCATGGTCATTATACTATTGATGTAATAATAGCATATTATATAACAACGCGGTTATGGTACATATATCATACAATGGCAAACAATTCACAGTTAAAAGTAAGTTTTCATTATTGAATATTTTTATGGAAAAAATTAACTTCTATCTTATGTTATTATAGCAATATGGATCAAACAACTTTTTAGCTCGTCTTTGGTGGTTCCCTATATTTAGATATTTTGAAAAGAATGTAAGTGGTACTGTTCCACGACAATATGAGTGGCCTTTACCCTGGCCTCGAAGATTACTTGCCAAGCACCCTAACAGAGACAGTTAATATTTATCAAAGCTTCATAAAGGAGCACATGTTCCACAGTGATATTTAATGTATATACTTATTTACGCTTATGATACAAAGTCACTTCAAATAGTAAATCTCCACAAAGTAAAATTTTATGTAAATGTGTGGAGCAAGAGTTTGAAATTTTTAAATACTGGTCAACGTCCAATCACAAGATCAAACACTTTGTGATCTGCTATGCTCAAAACCGTTGCATAGAACGGTTATTCTATTATTTTGCAATTTTTTGATTTTTATACAATATTTACAGAGATGGAAGTATGAATAAATTCTCATAAAAAGTGTAAACAATGTAGTAAGCCGTTTATAAAAAGTAGAAATTTATCAAATTATGTTAGTCTAGAATTTTGAAAACAGTTTTGCATGGGTGATATATTTTATGTGTTAATAATTTACTTTTATTGACATGAAAAAATTGTCTTTAGATTTGACAATTGATTCATAAATAAGTTATTTAGACACAACTATTTGATTCAAAATTGATTATGCCAAAATATTTAACTGAAAGATTTATTTTAATAATTTTTCAATTAATCATGCAATAAAATTTGCACTAAAATCTATTTACATAATTACATTAAATTTAGCTATAAGAAACACACATCAATATAAAAAGTCTCATTTGAAAGTTCAATTCAGTGATTTCATGGGACCAATGACATTGGTTGGGGACTTTGTTAATTGTTTTACGTATTTTAATTATTCTACAATTTATAGTTGGCAGAAACACATAGTTTACAATGAATATGATACATTGCTCAAAAATAAAACTTCAGAACTGAAACTTATGAATATTTTTACGTTTGTTATAGTAAAATTTACCAGAAAAAATTACAAAAAAAATGACTTAAAAACCTTTTTTTTTTTAAAGGTGTATTTTGAACATAGCAGTTGTTTACATAGATTTAGTTAAAGTTAGAGGATTTAAAAAATGCGCGAATAAATAAATTTTGTAAATGTGGCTTACAATTATGTATATACTTACATACAAGTTGTAACCAATTAGATGACGTTAAGAATGAAGGGTTTGGTATTTTAAATGTATTATTTGTTGTGCAATGACGTGAAATACTAATATTAGTATGGAAACGAAATATACGAACATCTTTTCATTACAATCTTTTACTAAAACATTCATGTATTATTTAAAATTAATTAGTTATAATTCATTAATTTTCAAGTTGTTGGTCTTGAATATATATTTCAACTATACTTGCAAATTTCATTCGATAGTTCAAATACCATTATCAGGTATGCATGTGTATATATAGCGTATTATATATGTACATATACCTTCATACTTTTCATACTTTAGGGCTTGCCTCAAACAGCAAGAATTAAGAATTATAGAATTTTCTTAATAATATCAAACATTAAAATTCATAAAATATTTTAATTGTACATATTTATACACACGCGCGCGCACACACACATACACACACACACACGCGCGCGCGCGCGCGCGTGATCGACTGGTAGGTCTACTGTGAAGTATAAATTCAAACTAATGATTTTGTAAACACTCATATATTTATATTTTTTTTATCTTCTTGTCACGTAGTGGCTCGAAAATATTTTGCATACGTGTGTAAGCTATAAAGACAATGTACTATTTTCGTACATAGAGATAAGTGTTGGAAAAATATGCTTGCATAGGATATTTACAATACAGAGTAAACATAAAAAACGTAATACTATTAAAAGATAAGTAAATGTTGAATAAAAAGACTGTAAAATTTTACATCGTTGATTACATAAAACTAAAAAAAGCTTTAAAAAACTTGAACATTGCACTTGTGACAGAAGTTTGTGTGCCTTATGTATATCCAACCAATAAATTTATTCATGTTGCACGTATAAATACTCTAAGCAGAACAAAGAAAGCTTTTTATATGGCATTACTAAGGATCTGCGTGCGCATTAATATCGTATAGAAAGTATACTCCGTGCATTATATAAGAGCTAAATGTAGATACTTTTTAAAATGTGAAGACGTTTGATCAAATTGATTTCCGAGAACATAATTCCGCGATGAAGCTCGCGAGTTTGAAATGATAGTTCTTTTATGTTACAAGCAGATGTGATTGTAAAATATCACGTCAAAATGATAAATACTTGCTATTCAAGCTTCAAGAAGTTTTTTATTCGTCTTTTTGTCATTCAACTAATTCAAGTAATTGAATAATTTTAGAATCATAATTGGAAAAATGCGAAATCTTTGTTTATTTGAAATAACGGTTACTTCTAATTTTTCGTCAATCAACCTAAAAATACTAAGAACACAACTTAGCTTGTACTAAATTTTTGTACAGGACTGTCATGATATTAACTAAAAAAAAGTTAATGAGTTCACTTATAAATTCAAGCTCAATTGTAGAACAGCAGATAAAAAAAATATAAAGTTTCAAATAAGTCCCAACACTTTTTCTCGTTTCAATTTTAGATATGCCATGATTTACTGCCTCAGACTTTCTTATAATTTTAATTTTATCCTACAAACGTTTACATTTTTCTACTCATAAAATAAATTCATCTTTACATGAAATTTATTGAGTGTCTTCCTCTATAGCGTTTGAAAATTCATATAATTTACTGATCGCACCATACAATATTATATATATTTTATTTGCATTTATAAACATTATATTTGAAGTTAATTATGCAAATAGTTAAATAGATAGAACCATCTTTGTTTTTTGAAAACTAAATCATAAGTGGGCTTATTAATTTTTTTGAGTGAACGCTGCTATAATGATTTTAAGAATATTTGAGATCCCATTTTTTTCGATCGTGATTATGACTATCAAATGATAAAAAATTAATCTGGACACCGATCTTGAAGTTTTTATGCTGTGTATTTATTTATGTACAATTGTTTCGTTTATTTTTTGTGTAAAATATATATACTTTCAGAGAATCATTTCTAAACCGATAGTTCTTGCTGTAGGCGTATAGAAAATGGAGATTTTAAGTTTGATGCCGATTCCAACTTCCTAAGTGATGAATGTTACTGTCTCGAAACACAAAAATCGTTAATATACTTAGTACCTTATTTCATTGGCTGGCTTTTTACAAAAACATTTACTAAAAGAACCATTTTGATTTACAAAATGGTTTTATGATCTACTCTGCTCGTTAAAATAGCGATGATTTTCTATCGAGAAATTAAGAACAAGCCAAAATCTCCATTTACTATAAATATTCCCGCTTTTATCGTAATGTACAAGTTCATGTTATGTTAATGTATACATGAATCTTTGAGTATGATCATTTAATTAATTGCATTACTAAATAAAGTGCCGTGAGATACCGGAAAACTATTGGATATTTATTACAACCCTAATAACTGATAGAGTAAAGAGTATTCTTGCGTAACCAGTTTTTAGGGAATCGGTGTCAGGAACATTTTGGATACGCAACAGTTTGCACACTATATATGTAATATTTTGTTTCCGAAGTTTCCACGAAGCTTAAATGGTCATATGCGTTCAAGCAGAAAAACTGGAACCTTTACAATAGTTCAATGCGTATGAAAATTCATTAAAAAATTACGAAATAAACATATTTGTATATACAACTATTAATACATTTCACATCAATTTATTTGTTTGTATGCATTTTTTCTACTTACAAAAGATTAAGTATATTCATAATGTTTCATATCTCACAAAACATTAGCATCAGTTGGATCTGGTGGTATATTAGTCTGCCGGTCAGAAAATTCGGAATGGGATCCCGCATGGGGATCTATATATCCTATATAGGATATTACATGGGTCCCATGTGAGATCCCATGTAAAACGCACCCGGAAAATTGATAAAAATTTCCATGTAGAATCTCCAATGGGATTTCAAAAAATTGTAAAAAAAAAATATCTGATCAGTGTGTTGACGACCATGAATATATCTAAATATATCTAATAATTCATATATATATATATATAAATATATCTAATAATTCATATATATAAAATATATGTTTTTCAAAATAATTGATTGTACGCATAATGTTGATTTTTTTATTTTCTATTGGTAGAACCTTGCATTTATTTACTTATCATTTTGTAATTATTGAGAGAAGTTCAACTGAATAGTGTGTATACGAGAGAGAAAGAGAAAGACATGCAGAATGGCACGGTGAATCGTTGTCGTTATTTGCATCAGCAGCAGGTTGGATACTTTAGTGCGTCGGTAATTTTTTTTGGATTATTTCACATACTCATTCATTGAATTGAGAGTTGAGTCTGTGAGAAAAAACAATTACACAAAGTATCTTTTTTGTACGTATATTTGTCGGACGTGTGGGATAGCGATTATGATTTTCATAAAAATTAGTATAGTAAAAATACTCTTACACTAACCTACGAAGCAGATTGGAGTACCCACAATATTTTCACGAAATATTACATCGTTACGGTCGATCGAAAAATATTAAAAAAGATTTTTACTTATTTGGAAATGGTTTTTCTGGCCTCCAGTGCTTCCAAATAAACGGCTGTTCTGTAAAAAAACTTCAAAAAGAGAGGGAGCGAAATATGATGTGTCAACATTGGAAAACTTTTCAAGTTCGATTGTAGTGCCTTTGATCATTTATTGCTAGAGGTTACCAATATGATTCCACGACTCAATGACTATAGACGTAGACGTTCGTATCCACTCGTTGAAGATTTTTTACAGAACAGCCGTTTATTTGGAAGCACTGGAGGCCGGAAAAACCATTTCCAAATAAGTAAAAATCTTTTTCTAATTTTTCGATCGACCGTAACGATGTAATATTCCGTGAAAAGCTTCTTAGGTTAGTGTACGAGTTTTTTTTACTATACTAATTTTTACGAAAATCATAATCGCTGTCCCACACGTCCGACAAAGATACTCTGTGAATTGTTTTTTTTTACAGACTCAACTCTTAATTCAATGAACAAGTATGTGAAATACTCCAAAAAAATTATATACGCACTAAAGTATCCAACCTGCTCCTGATGCAAAAAACGACAACGATTCACCGTGCCATTTTGCATATCGTTCTCTTTCTCTCTCGTATACACACTATTCAGTTGGACTTCTCTCAAGAATTTCAAAATGATAAATAAATAAATGCAAGGTTCTACCAATAAAAAATAAATAATCTACACTATGTATACAACCAATTATTTTGAAAAAAATATATGTATATCCGATACGTGTGTGGATTATTCATGGTCGTTCACACATGGATCAGAAATTTTGTTAAATAATTCTTTGAAATTCCATGTATGATCCCATGTGAGATTCTGTAATGATTTTTAATTTTTTGAAATCCAAATGTAGGAAACCATGTGGGGTTTATTTTATTAAATTCTCATATGGGATCTTATGCGGGATTTTATGTGGGATTCCTCATAGGATTCCGTGCAAAACTTTACGTTATCAATGATGAAATTAAAAAAGGAAGAAATTGGTAAGAAAAAATTTTTTATGTATTTCAAATTGCTCCGATTTGACCATAAATGGAAATAAGAAAACTATTGTAAGATTTAAGCCTCATTATTTGCTTCATCATCTTACCTTGTAGTTCTCACACACAAGATGAGTAACAGTCAAATGACTAATCGATTTCATTAATTAAAAAGAGCAATTTTTCAACCACATTTATGTACGTATTCTAGAGTTGAGGTAAGAAGTTATCAATATTTGAAGTTATTTAAAAATGATAAATATTAGAACTTTCTAAAATTCTATATCTTGACATAAAGCTTCATTGGTAAGTACTGTTAAACTTATATTTTGATATACAAGAACAGTTTATTGAGTAAACTAGTTGTAAAAATAGCATCGTTATAAGTTAGAGCAAACTTTCACATCCACGTAGTTCTGTTAAGATAAATGAAAGTAAACAACAAAGTAACGTATTCCTAAGGATCTCACTCATATTATAAGGGTTCATAAATTTAATTATTGGCAATCGAGATTTTTTAGGATAAACGTTGGATTTTAAAAAATTTAAATTTTGTTGATTTCGTACCCTGCGACATTTTATAATTTGAAATGTTTTAATTCTACGTCCTTAGAGATAAAACTTTGTTTTTTGTGAAAGTTTCCATATTGGTTCTGTTGACATATCTTTGAATTAATCATCATGCAAATAGTAATTAAAAATTTTTTCGTGACTGCGTGTGCGTACCTGGCGCTGCCCTTCGAAGAATTTTCTTTTCTAAACTCTTGCAACATGGGGTGAATATGGGGAAAATAAATTTAATTAAGACATGTCGAATGGAAAATTTTTTTCAACACGTTTTTAGTGAAAATGTTATGTTCTTGTACTAAAAAGTTTAGAATCGCTTCATTTACATAAATAAAATAACATTTTTAATTAATAAAATCTCGCATCTATAGACGTAAAACCAAAATTTGTACCGATTGGTCATGTATAATTTATTTCATTTAAAGCCTATTTCAAAAGCTTACTTTTTTGAAAATTCCGTATTCTTTAATTAAAAATCTTTGCTGTTATTCGATTATCAGCTCCAAATTTTTGTTTAAACTCGTATAGAAAGACGGGAACAGAGGAGAGAGCTAAAATATATGAGATCGTTCGAATAGAACTTGTTTCAAGGTGTTTATTTTTAAAGCTGACTTACGAACATTTTGTTTTCAGTTAAAAAGTGTATCAATCGTTATTGTGCCAGCCCTATGCAAAAAATTGATGTGATTTTTTTCTCAAACTTTTGTGGATATGATCATGTAGAGGGGAAAACCAACTATCGCATATAAATTACTTTATAGTAAATGTGTAAAAAAAATACCGAACTCTTTACATCTCAGTGAATAATGCCATATATGAATAAAACAAAAAAACTGATTGAAAAATTTGAAATGGATTATTCAAGAATTAATAAGTTATTACGCCGCAGAAAAATAGCGATGAATGTGGATGATACGCGTAACGAAGTATATCGATGGTTCAGCATATGCAGCAATTTCAAGCACGTTGTCAAAGACAGCGGCGCTGCATCGTTTGGAATGTCACGATAAAAAATCACAACAAATCGTCAGATAAAAAGTTGGATAAAATATCGAAATTCGTGCGTGCGAACTGGAAATGCAGATTTAAAATAGAAATAAATAGAATCAGCAAGGTCAAGATGCAGGTGTGACGGAAAGAGAAAAAATCGCGAGAGCAATCGTGAAATGGAGCCGGCGAGGTGAGCGGAGGGCAGGACGACAGGTCGAGGTTAGCGCAGCGGCAATAACGAGCGACACGCGGATCGCAGCGAGACGCAGACGGCGCGGAGGAAGCCCGTGAAAAAGTGGCACGAGTTCGAGCCGATCTCGGCCGAACTGGCCATGCTGCGCGGCCTCAGCTCGACACACTCGCCGCGCTTCAAGCCGGCCTCGCGCGGCCTGCAGGCCAGCGCGGCCTGCTGCGCCGCCGCGGCGCTGGCCCACCTGCTCGAGCCGGCCGACTGGCGGCCCGCGCTGCTGGAGCTCGCGCTCGACTGCGGCGACCGGCTGTTCCGCGCGAGCAAGGCGAGCCAGCAGCCGGCGAGCGCCCCGCGCGCCCTCGCCTGCGCCCAGCTGCAGCCCGAGTTCTACCTGGGCGGCTACCGCTGCCGGCTGTGCGTGGAGCCCGCGCTGCGCGGCCGCGGCCCCTGCGAGCTGCAGCGCGCGCTGGCCGAGCTGCTGCTGGGGCCCGAGCCCGGCTACGGCGCGCTGTCGGACGCGCGCGGGCGCTGCGCGGCCGTCTGGAGCCGGCCCGCCGCGGGCCCCGCGCTGTTCCACTTCGAGCCCGGGCCCTGCGACGAGCGCGGCCGGCGCGCCGCCGCCGGTGCCGCCTGCCTGGCGCGCTGCGCGGACCTGCGCGTCCTGTGCGCGCGGCTGGCGGCGCTAGGGCCCGGCGCGGCCGGCTTCCGCCTGGAGCGGCTGCGCCTGGTGCGGCTGCAGCCGGTGGGCCGCGGGCCCTGGCGCGGCCGCGAGGCCGGCCTGCTGCGGCTGGACGCGCGGCAGCTGCGGGCCTTCGGGGGCCCGGCGCGCGGCGCGCGCGCGACCTCGGGCTCGGGGGGGGCGGCCGAGCGCCGGCCGGCCGCGGGCCCGGAGGCCGCGGCCGCGGGCGCGGGGCCGGCGGGCGCCTGCTGCGGACGACCGCTGGCCGAGCGCCGCTTGGACCCCGAGGGCGCCGGCTTCCCGCAGCTGAGCGCCAACGTGCCGCCGAGCCTGGGGCCGCTGGGGCGCGAGCCCGCCATGGCCGTCCTGCACGGGCGCAGCCACGAGGCGGACGCGACTTACCGTGCCGGCGGTCGGCAGAGCGCGGCCAACTGCGTGGTGGCCCTGGCCATGCGCAAGGCGCAGCCCGTGCGCACCTGGCTGCGGGAGAGCCTCGATCGCGTGCTCGCCGCCGGCGACGAGCTGTACGCGCGCGTTCGCGCGGCGCAGCCCGGCGTCGAGTCCGTGAGCGCCGCCGACATGCACCACGCCCAGCTGCAGGTGGGCCCCTCTGCGGCCGCGCCGCGGGCGCACCCTGCTCATCCTTATCGCCTTGTCGCTCGCTGCTCCTCCGCAGATCGACGCGCGAAAGATGTTCGTCTCCGTGGACCTACTGACAGTCGTTGGTACCATCGTGTCAAGGACTGGCGCGGTGGCCAACTTGAAGCAGGGCCTGCAGGAGTTCTTCCTCGATAGCAGCGAGGGCGTGCTCGAGTGCTTTTCCCTGACCGTGGCTCTGTGGAAGGAGGACGACTACTATTACCTGTTCGACTCCCGCGCTTGCGATGTCAACGGTGTGCGCGTGGTCGCTAGCCAGTCAGGTAGGACTCGCAGTAACGGTTCGCCACCGCTCGTGCAGCACTGATTTGTGCGCGTCAGGAGGGAGCGGCAAGGGCAGTGCCTCCTCCCCGACAGAGAAAAAACCTGTCGGCAAGTGTTGCGTAATACGTTTCGCCAAGCTCACTCTGCTCGATACCCATCTGCGGAAGAACTTGGATCCCACCGAAACGAACGACCGGTTCGTTATACGTCGCGTTACGGTTACCGACGATATCCCGGGTACTCGACCGTGGAACTCCTTCGAAGCAGCCGCCGCGGGTAAAAGCTGGATGCTTAAAGGGACCATCGGTGGCGACAGCGACATTTTCAGTGATCACAGTCGCGGGATTCAGGGTCTTGCGATAGCCGTCGTGTGCTTGATCTCGGCCAAAACTATCCAGCCATCCAACTGGTTCAAAGAGGACGTGGATGACGCGGTTCGAGTGGGTGACTCCTACTACAACTGGTGTATACCGTACGGCGGAGAGGTGAATATGTTTTAGCAAGTGGACTCTAAACTTGCAGTCTTTTCAGTTTTTTGAGTTTCCAAGCCGAAAAAAGCTTTCGGATTACCGACTTGTCTCCGAGCTTGACAACTATTCTGTCACGGAGCCAGATAAGGTTTTCTGGCCTTTTCAATTTGAATGGATTAACCAAGGATTTTTTGTGTATTTTCAGTCGAATTTAATTTTTTTTCATGAAATTGTAATCTTATTACTATTAACAATTTTTCTTATTATTTAAATTCTTATTATTATTAACAATAACGAGTGAATTTAGAAACCCTTGGTTGGTTTATTCCGATTAAAAAAGCCATGAGACGGAGTACTTCTGACAGTTTGACTAACTTGCAACAATCAGAATATAGACTTTTCTTACTCGTAAAGAGTCTCTAAATCATCTTAATTATTTTGAAATATGCAAATTATGCGTTCCAATCATTGGCCACTATGAAATTTCAAGTTAAAAAAAATTTTTTTTCTTAATTAATGAATGAACAGTTAAGCTCAGACAGTCGGGAAAGCTTATCACTATTGGTCGTTTTTCACAACAAAGGGCAAATTATTTCTGTGAAATAAATGTCCCATGATATTTCCTATACGAAGATTGACACTTAACGAGAAAGTATATGACTCTACTGGTTTCATTGTTATCAGTTTAAAAATTGGTCTAATGTTAAAACTACTTCAAACATAATAATCAATGTGACAATGAGGTTTTCGTATATTGATAATACTTGTAGAGCGACGGTGACGAAGAAAAATCTTTAAACATCAAACGCTTGAAAAAATATCTGTACTATAAGAAGTGCAAGGCTATTATCAACGTGAAAGAATCCTGTGTTATGGGCAATTTACAAACAGAAAACGACAGTGACGCCAAAAGCTTAGAGAACGGAGTTTTGGACTTTTTTAAACAGCAACAATATGGCATTGTGGAAGCTAACGGACAGTTCTTTGCCATTTGGAAATTCGAAGAAGAACTGAAGGACAACAGCATAGAAATGGCTTATTATTTAATGCATGACAATCCGTCACAAGCATTTCTTAGCAAGATTTTATCTAAGCCCGGCAAAATTGAATTATCTGCCTGTGTATTCCGATTCGTCGAAGTTACCGAATTAGTTGCCGTCTTAACCGAATTATTGCAAGTTCAAAGCGAAGAAGACCAGTTGGATTACTTCATTCACGAAGTAGAAGTGGTGTCGATTAGTGAGCCCATGACAGACGAAGAAATTCAAAAGGACAAGGCCATCCCCGTAAGACCTGACCTACGAAATTACGCAGCTTTTGGCGATTACGGGGCAACTCTAGCCGGCAATTTTAATCAGAATGATGAGGCGATTTTCAAAAGGGAAACCAGAGGTAAACAACAAGCAGCCAGTGCTCTGGTCACACTGGCCATGACCAAAATTTTTTACCCATATCTGTGGTATCGGGAAGTTGTGGATGATATACTGAAGATGGGTGACAAATTGACCCATGAAAATCTGAAAAATCTGCCTGAAGCCGACAACGAAGATGAGGAAAATGCCAGATATTATCTGTTACCAAGTGAAATCGGCAATGACTTCGCACTTGGTGTTAATCAAATGTCCCTGAGCGTGGAGGAAGAAACTTTTTCGGGTAAACTCGACGAACTTAACGCAACCTTACAAGAGTTTTTTGCCGCTAACAAAATGGGAATATTTCGACAAGATAAGGTATTTTGCCCAATGACAAATCGTTCTTGCATATATCGTGGCATTCGGCGCTTATGCCGATACTCTTACATCTGAATTGTTTTATGGGAACCACAGATCATCTTACCGATTTGGAGAGAGGAGGCTGCTTTCTTTACCATGGATCCTGTAGGAAAGCAAGCGGCAAGCGTGTACTGGTTTATCAATATTCAATCCTTAGTCGATATTTTGGAGGAGTCCACGGAGAAAACCGACGCAAATTTCTTTATTGATACCGTCACTGTCGAGAATAAATTTATAGAGTCAGAGCTGCCAGAAGAAAACCTTGTTACGGAGGATCGTTGGTATAACTTTTCGAAAATAGCAGATGGGATTTGGCAAATAAATTGCAAGATGAATGATGAAACAAACGTAGAAGATGACGTTGCAGAGCTCAATTGTAGCACTGCAAACTCTGTGATGGCGATTGTTTTTTCAAAGGTTCGCTTTCAATTATTACCAACAAAGGCATGCTTCGGAGTCGGATCACTGTTGCACTCTTGCAGGCGTACGAAGCGCGTTTTTGGTCGCAGCAACTACTCGATGAGATAACAGCAGCAGGAAGAAGCTTACATGCACAGAGCGTGATTAGACTGGGAGAAGATAGGTTCTTGCGACCCAACGAAGTGATCGACGAATTTTTTGTTTCCGACCGCCGAATTGAGTTGGACGTTCAGGATTGCGTGCAAGCTGGAAAAATTAACGGGCAAGGCTCGAAAATACAGAGCCTGCAAAGCGGCTGCGTCGCGTTTTTTGAAAAGTTCAGCTCCGGTTGTTTGTCGCTGTTGGCCGCAAGGACACAGGCCATTTGGGCGATCGAGGATCACTTTTACAGCTTCGAGCCTGGACGTTCGCTAATGCGCTTCGAAAGTCTAGCTTTACTGGTCGAGCAGCTTGAAGCGAATGCCGATGGGAACAGTGATTTTGAGATAACGAGTATCGAGGTGGTCGATTGGAATAAACTGCCACCATGGCACTTCGATCCAAGCCCTGCAGTTCGTCCATCCGACCTGCCGCCTCTCAACGCCTACAGCAGATTGCCAGGTAAGGTACAACGTCAATAGAGGCAATCGAGCGAGTGAACGGCAAACCGTCATGCTCGTGCTCCAGGCAAAGCTCGCGCTATACTGCGGGCTTCCATCCACCAAGAGTCGGACGTATTTCCCAAAGAGGTCAGAGGTTGCCAGAGTGCAGCCAACTGCATAACGGCTCTAGCAATGTCGCAGATTAAGAACCCTGTGACTTGGACGAGAAAGACCCTCGATGAGATTCTGGCCTTCGGTCTGAATCTGCATTTGGAGAGCGCGAAGAGCTTGGGCGCGAGGTCTTCCCGGCTAAAGCCACAGGACATCGCGAGGATCTTTCAGATGGGCCCGAACGTCTTGGCAGTTGACGTGGAGAGCGACACGGTGACCGGTAAGTTAGGGCGCGAGCGGACAAAGCACTGGCTGGTTGCGTTCGCGCGTTCAGGAACGGTGGAGCAGCCTCCGGCAGAACTGGACGGAGACAGCGGCAAAACGGCTGCGCAACGAAAGGGGCCCGGACAGGCCAAGAACAACAAGACGGATAAGAAGGCCAAGAAAAAAGGAGTCGAGTCAAAGAAACGCGCGAGGCCCGAGCCGCCGTCCGCTCCGACGCTCGCCGACGGACTGAACGAGTTTTTTGAGAAGCATAGCGCCGGCGTGCTCGCTGTCGGCCGATTCACGGTCGCCATCTGGAGAGCCAGCGGAGTCTACTTCGTGTTCGACCCAAGGCCGAGGAACAACCAAGGTTAGCTAAGCCGGCGCTCCGCCGCAAAGACAGCAGCGTGTGTTTGGATCGCCGATCTGCTTGAAACTTGGGACAATCCTGTCGTACGTAAAAACGTGTCAGAAGCCGCAGACCCCCGGTTCGACGCCTTATTTTCGCGCCGGAGGACCGACAGTCCTGCGATTCGGGAAAATCCAGTGTCAGGGGAGGACTGCGGCTGCTCGCGCGTTTTCGCTGCAAAGGGATTGGGCAGAGCTTCGAGCGCGTCGCCGGTCGAAACATGCCCGGCTCCGCTTCTGCTCGCCTCGCATAACGCGCGCCACGCGCAGGCCGAGGAGGGGAGCCCGGCGACGCCGCGAGCTGCGTCTGCTGGTTCGCCTGCAGGCAGCCGTTCGGCCAGTTGCTGGCCGACAACGCCACCCAGGACGGCTACCGGGGCGCGTTCCGGATCTGCTCAGCGCTGGCGCGGCGGCTGGCCGTGGAGCCGCTGCCCGCGCTGCCGTCCGCGGGCCCCGGCTTCGAGCGCCTCGACGCGCGGCTGAGCACGCTGGTGGCCGGGTCCGGCTGGCACATGGCCGCGGCGCGCTTCCCGCCCGAGACTCGCGGCCTGCAGAGCAGCGCCGTCGCCTGCGCGGCCCTGGTGCTGGCGCGACTGCGCGCGCTGCCCGGCTGGCCGGCCGCGCTGCTGCGCGCTGCGCTGACACTCGGCGACCGGCTGCACGCGGAATGCGCGCGGCCGCGGCGCCACCTCGCGCCCGCCGAGCTGCCGCGGCTGCTGGCGCTGGGCGAGCTGCGCGCGCGGCTGCGCCTCGAAGAGGGTTTGGCCGCCGGGCTGAGCCTCGAGGCCGACCTGTGCCGCGCGCTCGGCCTGTTCTTCGAGGCCGGGCGCGACGCGGGTCTGCTGCACACCGCCGGTCTGTCGCTGGCCGTGGCGCACCACTCGGGCCGCTTCTTCCTACTGGACCCCAGCGACGACAACGCGCGTGGCTGCGCCTGTCTGCTGCGCTGTGATAGCCTAGCGGCACTGGCCCAGGCCGCGGCGGCCGTGGGCGTCTTCCGCGGGCCCGCGCCCTTCGTCCTCAGCGCGCTGCACGTCGACGAGCTGCGCTTCTTCGAACTGTAGCTAATAAAGGGTTGGGCATCGAATGACCGACGAGCAGCGAAAACCTTCTCAAATTGCTAATTTTATTTATAGTTTTATGACACAAATCACTTTGAGCATCTACATGAGTAGGAGTACAAGCTATACGAGAATGAATTTGATACAGATCACTTATTAGCGTAAATACAATGTCTCAATTACATGCTATGAACTAGATACTTAGAAAACACTGTACAGCGCAGCCGAACTGTCGGGCATACTTTACATATAATACAAGCGCGCCCAAAAGCGAGACGCGACCTATTCGATCAGTCGCATCGGCTCGTTTTCGGGCGCGCGATTCTTTTTGCATTTTCTATCACGCTGCCTCTTTTTTCTCTCTAACTACGCAAGGCTCGCTCTCTATTCTTCTCCTTTCCAAATTATTTCTTCTCATTCTTTAAAATTTACTTCCCTCCATCGACGCACGTACTTTTTAAATCATTTTTTCACTTTTTCTGCATGTAACATCATTCCCGATTGTTATAAAAGCATGTTTCTCGATTCGGTCGAATTATTACAGAGTTACACTTTATAATGGAGGAAACAATGAGTGCCTTGCCAATTGTTCTTGATTTGTCACTATAAAACTCGCACCTCTCGCAATGGCCAAAAACATAAAATTAAAATTAAACAAAATAATCTCGCTCTCTCGGTACATTTATTTCGTTAAGTAGGCCACCGCACAGATGCTGTTGGCACGCGCTCGTTACTTCTCGCTGCAACGGCAACATCATATACACACAAACATACATTTTATATTGGTACATTTTTTTTACGATTACGTTCTTCCTGCCTCTCTTTTGCTTGCCGCCCTCCACCTCTTTATATTGCATGTTTTTTTTATCTCTTATCATTTATTTTTGTCTTCACTGCACACCAATGAGATACACCACCATCGTGAGAACTTTCTTTTAAATACTTTACTGTTTTTTCAACAAAATTACTTCTTTTTGTTTACAGTTTTACTTTTAATTACGTATATAGAAGTTACGTACAAAGATTTCTCATTGTCAAAGCTCGTGTATTTCCTTATGAAGACTTATTATTCTTTACGCGTTTGCTTCTTCAGTCTCGAGTCTAAAGTTCGATGTTGTAATGGTGAATTTATATATATATATAAAAAAGAGCAAGGGCCCGGCATAGTTATGCTTCTACACGAACCTCAGAAAACAAATAAAATAAAGTAAAATGGAAGACTATGTAATCGCTTTCTATTCGCTCTTTCTTTTTTAAATCACGATTGTCAATATCGTTTACTTAAGGAAACCGTCGGGCCCGTCTTCTTTTTTTTTCTCTGGTAATGATTTTCTGGGTATCACACTTTGAAAGTTTTGTGAATGCCAAAATTGTATTAACGAGTCACAAAGCAACTGTAAGAAACGCATAACGAAATGAAACTAATTTTCAATCGTTGACAAAACGTAAGTTTATCAGATGCGACTGAGATCTCAATACTACAATGAAATTACTTTGCATTAGAATAAAACAAGTCACTGGTAAGTCAACAACTGCCTTTGAATTGGCAAAAGGAGCTACAAAAACAAATTAAATGGAGGAAATGTAAATGTGTAAGTAGAGACCATAAATCGAAAATGCTGACAAAAATAACATACATACTTTTTTAAGGTATTTTAAAAACTTCTATAAAACTGTTGCCACTTAAAAATAAGTTCTGTCCTTATACGTGCATTAATTAGTCTTATTTGTTGGCTGTACACATTAGTACAAATAATAAGTCGATGCGTGACTGCGTATTGAATTAAAAGTCAATAAAAAAATATTACTAACATAATAGATCGTTTGTCGAAACGTAGAAACACAATTAAGACTTGAGTGTCTTAAACTCTATCAAAAGCTTCGCAATTTATTCATTTGTTTTTCACACATTTGTAACGCAGACAGAGAGACGGCAATCTAATAATTAAATTATCGGTATGATTGGCATGATGTCATTATGGCACGTTAGTTTGCTATTCAGAGACGGGTTACAATAGTTTAGGATTTTTTTTCGCTATGTTAACATCATATTGAGAGGAGAAAATTACTTTCTCAATACTATACACATCAAGGACTCATTGTCAATTTCGATTTTGAACCCGCCTAGCGTGTACAGAATTTATTAGCGTCACCAGTCCTCCATTGCACTTTCCCATTTTCACACTATAAATGCACCTTAAACATATTTTATTATATACAATAGCTGCATTTTGAGCCTCCGCACATGCTTTCTTTCTATTGCGTGTTTTTGGTAGGTGAAATGGTAAAATATAATGGACAATTTCAAGTGAAAACATTCATACAAATTGCACCGAGAACCCGTAACGGCAATCAGATAATTATCGGTCAACGGCTATCGTACAACGATGTATAAGCTTACAGTTTTTTTAACAATCCTGTTGCGCGCAAAGTCACAATTTTGCAGGCTCCTCGTACGTATTAGTGAGTGCAATTCAGCAAGAACAAACCTCGCGACGAAACATTAAAAAAATGGTGTAACGAGTGCTGCACAATCAGAACGAGCACACTTTACACCGAGAAATAAAAAAAGTGGTAAAATACATTAAAATAAGTTAAACAGTTTCTTTTGATCTTTGATCGTTCAGCGCCATAGTAGATTCAAAGAAATGCAATAACCCACGGGTAGCCTGCAACGTTACGCAAATTTCCTATGACAAATATCTGATCATAGATTCCTCGTATACTAGGAATGTCGAAATAAATAGAAGTAATGGAAGTAGGAGAGGAAGGATCAAGTCCTCTGGATAATAAGTGCACAGATGAACGATAAACTTTAATATCGACAAAGTTAAACGAAAATGCGAAAGTCACTGGTTAAAATTAGTCGAAGTACTTAACATAAAGAATACTTTAGAATAAATCTCAAATGAATAATAAAAATGAAACAAAATTGCCTTTCCTGAAAGGGCTCGTATCAAAATCTAAAATTTGGCCATGTCATCAGACAAATTGAATTTAATTTATAGTTGGAAGACTTTCTAAGACTACGAAAGTAAATGCGCTCAACGCTCAGATGCAATATCATAAAGGATACGAGGAGAGCGCGTAAGAGATAAACTTTAAAGAAATTTAACAAACGACGACAGTGAGAATGGTCGCGAGCGATGATCGTAGAAATAGATAAAAACGCAGTAGTAATAATACTAATGATAATAATAGTAGCATTAATGATATTATTAAAAGTAGTAGTAATAAAAAAGTTAATAAAAGTAATGAGGATAGCAGAGGCAATGATAATATTAAGTATAGTAGTAGTAGTAAAAGTAGAAAAAATAATCGTAGTAGTTGCGAAGGCAAGGGGTGAAGGGAGCAGGGAAAGAAGGGGCTCGGTTGGCACAGGAACATGACTGGTCGAGTCAGCGGGCCGATCACAAAACGGCGGCAGGGTCGGAAGGGAAGGTGAGCGCGTGACGCGAGTGCGAGGTGGGTGCCGAGTATTGGTGCGCGCGAGGCGAGCCGACGGCTGGCAAAGCCGGGGCTACGTGACGCTGATGGCCGGGTTGGATGGCTGGGGCCCGGGCCCGGGCTCGGTCTTGATACACTGGCCCGTCAGCTGGTTTACGCTCAGCGGATTGTTGATGTCGTGTGGGTTGGTACCCACAGGGTTGCGGTGCGGCTGCTGCTGCTGCTGCTGCTGCTGGAGCTGCTGCTGGTGCTGCTGGTGTTGCTGGTGCTGTGGGTGCGCGCCCGCCGGCGTCGACACGGGCAACGCGCTCACCACCGGCGGTGTCAGCGGGCACGGACTCGCCAGACTCGATGGCGAGGGCATCACCAGCGAGGGGCTCGCCAGACTGGACAGGCCCGACAAACCGCCGGGGCTGCTCAGCGACTCGTCGTCCTCGGGCGTTCCGGCCTCGCCCACGCTGCCCAGGTTGTCTTCCGAGTGGTCGTCCTCCGCTTCCCCGTCGACATCGCCGTCACCCTCGTCGCCGCCCTCTCCTCCCTCCCCCATGTACCTGATACATTTCTTCTTGCGCCTGTAACAATGCGACAGCAACGTTAGTAGAGGTCCGCCAATGCGGCCTTACATCCATCACAGTCTACTGTGTGCCCGTCCATTCGCACACTCTCGCTCTTTCTCTCCCGTCGCGCACTCGACTCGCATGCACCTAGTGCGTCTACTCTACCTACTCACTCGCATGCTAGCTTCTTTTCGCTACCTGGTCCTACTTTAAACAAAAACAGCAACAACATCAAAACTCATGCTTAAAAAATCGAGATGGGGCGGTGGAAAGGAAGAGAGGAGGAGAGAGGGTAGAGAGAGAGAAAGAGAGAGAGAGAGAGAGAGAGAACGTCAAACAAGGCTCGTGCGTGGACGATCAAACAAACAAACAAAAAAAACTAACAAACAAAAGTAACGACCACACGACGCAGCTAGTAACGTTGAAAAGATTGAGTTGAGAGTTTGGAGGTAAGGGGTGCAGTGCAGTCTCTAACGCGCGACGACTCGATCGCGTCGACGAGGCATCTCGTGTCAGAGAATCAAAGAATCAGAGAATGTCACAGCAGCAATGCAGTCGGGACAGTTTCACCGCTCTGCCATTGGCTCTCATTATTTATCTCCCAGGCGATTATCGACGCCGATCGCGATCAAGCGATTTCGTTTCGTCTTTTCTTTTGACGTTTCCCTCAAGCTCCATAGCTCCATTTTGCAGCTATCGCTCACTCTCGAGATTCACGTGCGCTTATAGGGGACTGACAATTCAGCTGTGTATCCTCTTGCCGGCAGTTTTTGACTCGTAACTGACAGCTAAGAGTAAACGTGATTATTCAAGAACGAGAGACAATCGAGTCACATGTATGTATGTTGATAAATGAGTGGTAGCAGCTGCCATGCCAAAAATTAACAAATGTATTAATTACTGAGTAACATTGAAACGTTCAAAGAACGAAAACGAAAGAAACAAAAGAAAGTTGCTTGCCGAAATGGCGACGGTGGGTGGGCACTGGAGGTGCGCACGCACAACGCCGAGCATTTAGTAAAAGAGGCAAAAACCAGTAAGTACAATGAAAGTGTAAATATGAGCCATGCTGAGGGCAACACTGAATAATAAAAACGTAAAACGAAAAATTAATTAATTCAGATGAAAAAAGTAGAAACAAAGTAGAAAAGACAAAAAAGAAGAATGATAATAAGCCGTAAAGAGCCACAACAATGAGAAACAATGCGAGCACGTGAGGGCCCCTCGCTTGGTCAGGCCACTCGGGCAAGCAAGACTCGCTTGCCGCTGCCTCGATTCGGCGAGAACCGAAGGCAGAACTGGGAGCAGGTGGCGGCGGAGGTAAGGTGCGACAGAACAGAGGACCGAGGTCGGCGTCGAGTGGGTGGACGAAGCGAGGTGAGGCCCTGCACTGTCGGCGTTGATTGTCAGGACTGACCACTGTTTAAGAAGAAGTGTTGCAGTAGAAGGGAGGCGATAGGCTTGACTAGAGATTAACGTAAGTGGGTTCCTGCTGAGACGAGGCGGCGTTGGAGGCCGAGTTGGGGCCGAGGCTCGGGGAGGCGGCGGGGCCGGCAGCGGCGGCGGCGCTGCTGTTGGCCGCGCCGGCCGACGGCTGCTGCTGCTGCTGGCCGGCCGCCACCTGCTGCTGCTGCGCCACCGCGCTCGCCGCCACGCCGACCCCGCTCCCGGCCCCCCCGACGCCGCCCGCGCCACCGCCCACACCGTGATGGATTATGCTCGCGTGGATGCCCATCCCCGCTCCATGCTCCACTGGGCTGCCAAACACCAACCACCAGCCATTAAAGGGCCGCTCCGGTCGCAGCGCTGCCCGCTGCCCGCTGCCCGCCCAGCCCCGTCCCGGCAAGGCCCGCGCGCTTGGCTCGCTTCGCCGGGCGCCGAGCGCGCTCGTCGCTTGCCGGCAGCGAAGCCAGCCAAGAGCGCGTGCGATCTTTGGTACTTTTCAGCGACGCCTTGGCGGCGCGGCCTTGATCAACGTACCTGCACGGCTTGCACCATTGGCTCTGTTGGTCCAGTCCGAACCTCGCTCTGCATTTCTTCATGTTGTTACCTGGAGCCACACAAACAGCTGCATTAGTCAAACTTACTCGCCGCCACGGGCCCTTCAAACGCTCCGCGCTCCTCAACTTCTCCCCGGCCAAAACGCTCTCTTTGCCTTTCTGGCGCGACGAGTTCGCGAGGAGTGCAGTTCGTTTCAAGCGCCCTCGATCCTTCCTTATCTAAGAGGTATCCAAGCAACGGAGTGTAGAAAAATGCAAAGTTTACGGACGGACTTGTCGTGGAAAAGGTCAGACTCACGGAGTAGGTTGTGACTTTTTTTCAGACGGTTTTGTGATTGTATTATTCAAGCAAAAATAATAGAAGCTGGCTGTCTATCTTTACGGTTCATCGATAATGTGTCTACAGGTCTTCCTAAACTTCGTCATGCATATAAATATGCATTGACCAAACGCATATCAATAGCAACCGTTAGGAAGAATCCGTGTTTTTCCAGATAAAAAGCGGAAGTTTTCAACGTGCATACACAGTGCTTTTTGATAACAGGCTTAATGCTCTAATAAAATTTGCAAATTCAATAAAAGTACGGTTTCAAATGAATTGAATAACTGCTCAAGCGAACTGATAAAACGCATAAAATGAAAGAAGCCTCAAATTTATTATAAATTGTTCAAAATATCAAAGGAAATAACTGATTAGAATTGAAGTTATGAAAAATTAAAAGACATTAAAAATGAACGATGCTGTGTGTGTCGAGATATGATAATAGTGGCAAATTAATGACAAAAAAATCACAAGAGACTGTATATTGCATCGAAAAGTCTCATAAATATTTGATTGCTATGTATCATAATCGTATATAGGTATTCTCAAATGGCACATTTTAAGTATTGACAGCAACATAAAGCCTCTCCCACATGATTAATATAGATTGATGTACTGATTAATCATCATCAAAAGAAACTTCATGAAAGAAATCGTAAAAGGGGAAATAAAGTTGACAAAATGGTAGCATTGAAACGATCAAGGAAAAGAAATTGTCATTCGACATATAATAGCTATAAAGATACGAATAGTAACAATAAGAAATAGAATGAGGTCATAAAAGTGGAACAAGTTGAAAATAAAAATTGTAAGAAAATATGTAAAATAAACAATAAGTACAGATGGAGAGAGAGAGAGAGAGAGAGAGAGAGAGAGAGAGAGAGAGAGAGAAAGAGAGAGAGAGAGAGATAAAGAGAGAGAAAGAGTGAAGAGCGTAAAAATATATTAAGAAAAATCAAACGTTGAGGATTGTCTGATTTGCGTGGAGTAAGGTCCCTGTAAAATGCAAGATGGCCAGCGTCCCCAAAGTTGTATACGTATATAATAATTAATATATAATATAATAAATGTATAAATATGCATGTGCGCCTGCGCGTGCGTGCACGTGTATTACTTGTAGTACTTATTCTGTCGAATATACATAGATTTATATTCATATATAGACACGTACGTCAGTGATTAAGTGATAACTGTTGTAGTGCGCGCTAGAGCTATTGAGAGAAGCGCACGCGCTCACGCATGGCATATATATATATATATATGATATACATATATATGTAATGGTGTGAGTAATAGTAAGAATGATAGTAGTAGTAGAGTAATAATAATAATAATAATAATAATAATAATAATAATAATAATAATAATAATGATAATAATAATATACATATCGGCCCAAAACCCCCGAAAAAGGGGAAAACATGCAACATTATGTATAAACAGCGTGAAAGGTATATGTGTAATATAAATATAAGTACAATATAGAATGTAATGTATAGTGAAATTAAATGAGTATTAATAATAATAATAATAATAATAATATAACCATAACAGTAATAAGTAAACAGTATATAATAATACATGGTAAAGGCATAAAGGAAGCGCGATCAGACGGTCGACCGGGGCGGGCGGACTCACAGGATTTATATTGAGAGTTGAGGGTTTAAAGAATGTGTGAGGTGGGGGGGAGGGGTCGAGGCATTGTTAGTACCTCCAGGATCACTGTTTGTGTCTTGTTTGCGTCTTGTCCTCTTCTTAGTTCGGTTGGTATTTGCGCGGGAAGACCAATCAGGGTACAGCTGCATGTGCAACTGTCTCTCCCGTCGTGCCAATTCATAATACTTGGCCTGTTCGTCTCGCCCTAGCGCGTGCCACTACCCAGAGACAGAATTAAAACAACTCTTTAAACAAACTTGCTTTACATTTGCGTATTTCTTATTTGGTTTCTTATCAACTTGTGGTTTTTTCTTTTTTTTTATGTTCTTTTGTTTGTTCTAGTTACTTTGTTTTTGTACTTTGGATCAAGGCAATCAAGATAAAAGTTCCACTAGTGCTACTGCCGCCACCCGCTCCCATACCTTATGTATTTGGCTGCGTTCATTCGAATTCAATTCAATACTCTAGATAACTGACTAGCATCTATTTTTTCATCTAATTTGTTATTTTGCCAAATAATATCCTACTGTTAACTCATTCATCAAAGCATACAACATTATCATATAACACTGGAGTTCCTACTTTCCGTTTCAAGTGCTAGAAGAACAGCCTATTGTCCTAGACACGCGCGACAGTTTATTCTTTGTTTTTTTTCTTATTACTTTTTTTATACATTCAAACATTCTCCTCGTCCGTAATGTTTGTCTCAATACCACATGTAAACAGGTTTGAAACGTCTGAGCAGCGACTTTCAGTTGAAAAAGGACGAAATAACATCTTTGAAAACTTTTTGATGAACAATAGCCGTTTCTTCGTCTTTCTTCTGAGCACCTTGTTAAGCCCTGTAAAAAATAACAGCAAAGCTTTGCGACGCGTATAATAAATTACGCCTTTTTAACCGACGACTCGTTATGTTATAACGCTCAAAAAAATAAACAAAAAATCGACATGGTTAAGAGTTGAATTCGTTCAATCAAAAACTGTAGCGAATTATTTGTGAGTTTCGATCGACATAATCAGCCAGAGGTCTCTCTTGAACGAACCCACGAGGTAAAAGAAGAAATCTAATAACGTATTTGTCAGGACAAAGATGCATTCATTTCAAATGAATCAGAGGTTTCAGCTTTCGTCGTAAAATTTAACAGATTTTACCCTGCTCAATGCTGAAACTATTGTTACGCAGTAAAGCTAATCTTTTCCTTTGTTTATAATCATGTTAATACTTAAATTTATATAGTATTCGTATTTGTGAATATTTCTTGACGAATACCGCTTTAGGGAGTTGGCCAGATATGCAATTTATGATGAGTAGAGCGCGACACAAGAGCAGATAGATAGAGAAAGAGATAGGATATTTGAGTGCTCCACAGACAATCCAATTCAATATTGTCAAGAGAGAAATTGACATTGAGCGAACGTAAAGAGTACACACGTTCAATTTCGATGTACAATACGCAGCAGCGTAACACACACACACCCCTATATATATATACACACACATAAATATATATATATATATATAAAAGTAGTGCTTCATGAGTCGCTTTACAAATTGCTTACAATATGTAATATTATAATTAGTCATCGTCATCGACATTACTGTTGTTAAAGAGAGCAGAGAAAAAGAAACTAAAACAATGAAAGAGAGACGCACAGAGAATTTGATCGTTTCAATTGAACCAACAGTAAGTATAAGACTATAGTGATTGTTTATAGTATTGAAATTTGCATGGATTGAGGGTCTGCTGTTCTAGCACTGGAAAGTGGTACCTCCGGTGGGATCCGCGGATCGCTCTTTCTTCCTCTTCTTCTTCTTGCTGCCATAGCCATAATTATCCCTGGCACTCCAGCCCGGATACTTTTGCTGATGCAGCTGTCTTTCGTGCCTGGCCGCTTCGTAATACCGTTGTTGCTCCTCTCGACTTAGCGAATGCCACTGTGTGTACATATTCCCAAATCGTTGAATGTTTGTCACTTATGCTTTTTCCTTTTTGTCTTCTCTTACTCTTAATTATCAATCTCCAAGCAAACTCTTGCTTCAACTCTACAAGTGTCTCTTAATGCTTTGCTGCATCAAAATCCCCCCTCCCTTTTTGTTTTCCACTTTGAATTGTTTTTTACTTGCCATCTATCAAATGCTCTACAGTATCTAGAAACTGATTCTATGTTAGTTGCTTCAATATTAATTTTTATGCAAGAATGTCTTTTCAACAAAGCGTTAGTCTACATGCACTTATGTTTAAATGTTCTTCAAGTTTTGTGCTTCTCAGCCTGTACAAAGCTCTTACTTTAAAATCAAATTTTTGTTTGTTAGTATTGTCAGCGACAATACAGTTGCAATAACAGAGATAATCAAAAAAATGACTTTAAAGCTAGTTAGTCTTTTACATCAAGGCTGAGCTACATTCTTGAAAAGCAACTGTAGTGAAAAACTTTATTTTCATTGCCTCGATGTAAAATCAATCTTAATTTATCAGAATTAATTGCAGCTTACCCGTCTTCCTAAAATTTGGTTTATCGCAGCACTTTCTTTTAAGGTACATTCTGCCACTACCTTTGCCCTCATCTCTTTCATGTACAACATAAATGCATTTAATGGTTTCTTTATATGAGGCTTCTTTTTCTCTGCAAATAAAAACAATTATATAGGTTAGCTATGACACATTATCATCACTACCATTTCTAAAATAATTTTCTACTTCAAGTCTTCTGAAATATACATTTCCCCTTTGACCACAGACATTAATCATTATTATGGATTCAGCTGATATTAATAAACTTCTGTTCTATTTATTAGATTGTAGTATTAGTTGTAGATAAAAATAATCGAGTAAAAATAAAAGGAGAGTAATAAAAGAATAAGATAGAATAAAATAGTAGAGCAAGAGGTTATGTTTGAAGCTTTTTCCTGTGATTTAAAGTTTGAGAGAGGTAATTCATGATGTGACAAAGAATTTCAAAGAAAATAAGTTGTAAATGTTTCAGTGAGAAGAAAAAGACTGGTGGAATGAAAATAAATACCTTGATTATTCTGCTGCCCCGTATCCTGGTTTTTTGTGTTGTCAGCAGGTAACGAGGATGAATTTTTTGGCTCCACCGAAGACCTGTGAAGAAAGAAAATAAGTTTAGTTAAGAGAGGCCACCTTGACAAGTGCGATGGGATGGATATTTGGTGAATGTTGATACCGTTTGAAGAATGATTGTTTAGTGTCAGGGCTGGTTGGTTCAGGCTTTGTCACTGGAAGTGGGTACTGGGTGAGGAGGGAATTGGGGGAACTGCACATTTGTTCATTGGCATTGGTGATAGCACCATCGTAAAAAGGCTGAGGTACAGTAACAGGGTTGCGCAGGAAGTTAGGAGGCACCGTGCAGAGCTGCTGCCACATACGGTGCCTTGCCTCCAGCATTGCCACTAACTGCATAAAGTTCTGTTGTACATTGTAGGGATTGGGCGTGGAGATGTTTCTGAAGGCAGATGCATTGGACATTTGCATCATGCTGCTCATGTAGAGAGCAGTGAGAAACTTCTGGTCTGCTGCAGGTATGGTAGTCTCTGCAGATTTGAGTGCACTTTGCAATATAGTCATATTGTCTTCGATTTTGGACTGGAGCTTGTCCTCGTCGGGCTTGTCGTCGGGCCCCAAGCAACCGTCACTGTTCTTCGGCTCAGTCGTGTCGCTGCAATCTTTCTTGATGACCAGGTTCAGTGGCTCCAGACATTCGGGCTCCATTGCCACCAGCACTTCAGGTCAGAGCTTTCATTCGCAGCCTTGACCGTGAGATGGTGAGCGAGCGAGAGAGGGAAAGATAAATAGAGCGAGATAGACAACTACGCGGGCGAGGACGCGCGCGGAGGCTTTGGCATCAGTTGGAGGCTTGGAGCGCTGGCGCTACATCTTCCGTGGGTGCTCGCTGCTCCGAGCGAGTCCAGCGGGCGACTGTCAACGAGGAGATTCGCGCTCGCGGGACATCCGCGGCGGAGCGAGGCGGCGATCCGCAGAGGCGGCAGCGGCACCAGCAGTGGCATCAGCCGACGACCCGCACTCGGACTTGCCGCGGGCGCTGGGGGCGCACCCGAGCTGTGCGCTCGTGCCGAGGAGCCGACGAGGAGGCGCTGCGCGACCGGGCCGGCGGCGGCGAGCCCGCCGCGCTCATCGCTGCTCTGCTGCCGTCGCTGGGGCTCGGTGGCGGTGATCGCGCGCGGGGCACTGGCGTACGGCGTAGGCGTAGGCGGCGGCGGCGACCGCACACACCACACGGACGGCGCGCTCGAGTGGAACCGCGGCTGGCGCGAGCACGAGCGAGGGAAGTCAAGTCACGGGCTGTCCAGTGCCATCGCCGCGCGGCTCAGTCGTCTCTTGTTGCTCGATACACTTGTCCGACTCGGCGGCGGCGCTGCGCCATGGCAATATCTTTCGAGAGCGATGTTTCGATTGATTATCCGCGGCGGTGGGCGGCGGGTGCACGTCGGCCCATCATTGCAATTCATGCCTCTCCAGCCCCTCCTCGCGCGCGCCTGCTCTCTCGCTCTCTCGCTCTCTCGCTCTCCCGCTGGCTCGCTCTCTCTCTCTCTCTCTCTCTCTCTCTCTGTCTCTGACGCTCTCTATATAACTGCGTCTGTTTCCTCCCCACCGAGCCCGCTACATAATTCGGGCGGAGGGGGTGGCAATCGGATTTTTTTGGCGGGCTGCTCCGGGCCGGCGCTGGCGTCGACGCCGTGTGCGCGCCCGAGCGACGACACTCGACGTCGCGACTCGCGCGCTCATGCTGCTGCTGGCGCTCCACCGCTGCAGGGCGCACTCCGTCGATCCCTCCGGCCTGTATGGGGCTTCTTGCTCGCCCGCTCGCCCCCTCGCCCGTCGCCGCTCGTCAGCCCGGCATCGGCGTCATGGTCGGCGTCGCGGTCGTCGCCGCGGCCGCCCGCCGACCGAGTCCATGCAAATGGCCAGCGCAGCAGCAGCCGAGAGCCGCGAAGAGGGAGAGCGTTTAAGAGCTGGGTAATGATCAATACGCGGCGAGGAGAAAGGCCGCTCCAAGAGATAAAGAGCGAAAGAGCGAGAGAGTCAGCGCAGACGCTCTGTGCGTGTCTGTTTGGCGCGCGCGCTCGCAGCGTTTGTCTGGCATTCGATCATGCACGGGCTCGCAGGCGCGCTGGTGGCGTGGCTCCGTCGCCGCTGTGCGTTCGTCAGCAGCCTGCATCCCGCACCTCGACGAGTGCTACCCTCGCTCGGCAGTCCTTCACATCCGTGATTCCGCTTCTTTATCGCCTGTCCAGAGCTCACTTGGTCCCGCGCTCCGGCAGTTTTCTCTCTTATCGGTGATGGGGATGAAGTGCCAACTCAAGGGGGTGGCCTAGGCCGAGCGCGAATAGACTAGCGCAGGAGACCGAGCATTATCGACGGACGGTGCCTCGTGGCCAAGTGGGAAAAAAGGAAGGAGCGGGCGAGGGACGCACAGCTCGCGTAGGCGCGATGCAGAAAAAAGCTATGATCAAGAGAAAATTGAGTGAGATGATTGAGCGTGCGAGAGAGGCAGGTGAAGACGGAGCTGACGAGGCGGGCAACGGATCGGTCTTCGGTCTGTGTGTCTGTGTGTGTGTGTGTGTGTGCATGCGTGCGTACGTGGTTGGAGCGGGGATCCGAACAAACGCGCAGAGAGCCGAGAGGAGGAGAAGGATGGCGAAGGATGGCGAAGGAGGGAAGCAAGGGCAACGGATAATTGGTTCTCTCTCTTCTCGTACGAGTCTCACCTGTGATTGTGGTCCAAGGTAGAGTGATCCGCCTTGGGGGCGGACGAGACCAGAGCGTGCGACGCGAGGGCGTGCGCGTGCGGGCTGAGGCCGGGGTGAGGGGGCATGAGGCCCGTCGGCGAGAACCGATAGAGATCGCTGCAAAAAAAATTGAGGCCAGTTATCGTGGTCGGCCAGCTGGCTCGTTGACACGGTCGCCCGATGCGAGCTCATACTGACCTGGGCAAGCTGGAACTGGTGATAGGCAGACTGGTGGGGTAGGGACTTCGGAAACCAGCGCTCGCCGGGGAGATCGGGTACATGCTCGGCGTGTGCCTGCACAAGTGAACGAGCAGTGAATTAGTAGCCGTATCCACGGCAAAGGCGGAAAAAGAGGCGAGCTGGCTGGATTGAGCCAGACCGGGCGGACGGGCAAGCCAGTAATTGAGGAAAGAGGGCGTAATCGGCCGTGAAAATCTCCGAATTGGGCTGGAGTAGGAAAGCAGCAAATAAGGAGAAAGAGAGACTCGGCGCTGCTAAGTGAGTTCGCTCGAGTGGCTGTACACGGTCTAATAGACCGGAACTGAGAGGATGACCGCTGGTCCAATGGCCAAGTCGACGGGGCTAGCCTGGCGGGCGCCTCGTCGAAGCGCCCGAGAGAAAGCAAAGCCAATTAGTACTTACCAGGAAGCGGCGACTTGCGTCATTTCCGGGCTGAGCATGGGGTACGGGTACTGGCCCGTGGAGAACGGGTACATCGGCGCCCTCGTCAGACCTGCAACACAGCCCATCGACAATTACTGCCACGTCTGCACGAGCCCCGTCGCCACGATAAAATTGCGCGGAATGTCCGCGAGCGACCGACCGAGCAGGCAAGGTAAATACGCGCTGTGCATACGTCTAGGGTAGATGTGTACGTGGGCGGCGAGGCGGCGAGGCGGCGAGGCGGCCAGGGGAGAGCGAGCTATTATGCATGGCGTATTCAGCACCAACGCCATCCGAGCGAGATCAAAGAAGCTCCGATCCGAGTGAATAGCGAAAAGGGGACAAGTCGGTTTATATTTGGACGTCGCGGGGCCGCGAGGGCGCGCCACTTATCGATTCGCGCTAGCTGGGCCCGCTCTCGCCGGCACCTGCCGTCAAGCGCGACCAAACGCCGCCTCGCTCGCGATGCCCACGCGACCCCGCTCGGTCGCTCGTTACTTGCTATTTTTACTGATTACCGGTGCGCGGCACGCCTCTCTCCTTTGGCTTTCGCTGCTCGGACCGTCGGGCGCCTCGTGTTCCTACGGTTCGCTCGCTCGACTTGCCTTAGTCCACGCCGCTGCGAGCATGCCTCGCGCTCGATAACTAGTGCGGGCTCTGCCGAGCCAATGCGGCCTTTGAATATCGACGAGCGACCTGCCGAAAGCCGACGAAGAACGCCGCAGCGGCGGAGAGGCGAGCGACCCAAGTGGGCAGCAGCCAAGGGAGAGGCGAGGGCGCGGCGGTCAGCTGCACCGAGAGCTAGTGGGTCGCGGATCGAACTGACGCTGGCAGCAGCGGAGGTCGGCGCTGGAGCAGGCGCGGGCTCGAGCCGCGACGGCGATAAAGCGGGCGACGAAGCGAGCTGCGTCGGCGGTGCGCGCCCGCGTCTACGAAAATAATTGGCTTCGTAAGGGGCTGTGGGCGCGTGCGCGTGGCGAAGCCTGATGAGGCCAATGGAGGCAGCGCTGGCGGCGCACAAGGCGGCAGCGGCCCTTTTGTCCGGAGCCTCGCAAGGGCAACGCGCGGCCTCCGCGATCGGGCCACTCGTGCGCGCGCGATGCAACCTCGTCCGCCGTCCGCCAGACGGACGCAAGGCGCGCGCGCGCCGAGCGCCCGATTGATCGCGTCGCGGGAAGGCCGAGCTCTCGGCTCTCGAACCTCCGTCTCGTGCTTCTGGCGCGCCGAATGGCTAGAGTCTGTCATGTGTGCTTAATCACTTTCCAGTCGACTCGGTATATTCCGCGCGGCGGCAGCAGCAGCCCATTATCGGCCTCTCGCCAGCCGGAAAATTACTCTTTTATTCGGTGAACAAGCGCCCTGGCTGCTCCGCCCCCGCGCCGACTCTGCCTGACGCGTTTCTCTTATTTCCCTCCCGTTTCCCGGCTGAGCCGAAACCTAGCTCCGACGGCAAATGCGCTGCGAATAAAGGGCTAATCGAGCGAGCTCGCCGATCGAGCAACCGACTACTTTGTCTGCCTTCCGCCGCTGCTTCTCCTTCCTCCTCGCTGCAGCCCCTCGCTGCAGCCCCTCGCTGCCGCGCCCCTCTACTTCTTCTTGCTCTCGTGCGCTAGTCCCACTCGTCGCGATTGCCCGCAAGCCGCGCTCCTTCCCGACGGGTACCCGCGACGGTCGCGGCACTTCACCGACGAGCCCAGCGCAATAGCCGCCGTAATAGCCGGAGCTCGGGCGTCTCTCGTGCTTCGGCGAATCACCGCACCCAGCGCGCGCCTGCCACTGGGATCGCCACTCCCGCCGAGCGACCCGTCCGTGCTACGCCGTGCGCAGCGCTCTTATCCTTGCCCTCTTCGTTGCCCGCGGCGCGCCGGATCCCCGTTTCCTCGCTATTCGCCGGCGAAAAGCGACTTTCATCATCGATCGTCGCTGGAGCTGGGCGAAGCAGCCTCGGCTCGATCCCGCGTTGCCGTCGCGTTGCGAATGGGGCCAATGCGCCAGCGAGACGCATGCGAATAACAACGCAAAACACGGCTGATAGATGTGCTTGGCTCCCGGAAGGCTTGGGTAGGCCAGCGATAAGAGAAGACCGCATTGTTGGGCTGCGTCGGAGAGGAAGCAGAGTGTCATGTGAATATCAGTATAAATATATATATATAGAGAGAGAGAGAGAGAGAGAGAGAGAGAGAGAGAGAGAGAGAGAGAGAGAGAGAGAGAGAGCGCGCGCGCGTCAGGGCTGATCGTTTAGCGAGGCAGCGGCAATCGATAGCGGCTGCCCCCAGTGGTGCGCGTTGACGCTTGCAGTGGATGCTCGGCACGACGTACGAGAGGCGCCAGCGAGCAAACCGCAGCCGGTGTGCCCGCACGCATCGGCCGAAATTAGCGCGGACACGTGCGATCAATGATTAGCGCGCAGCGACGCACTTGCGTGCCCGGAAGACCTGCTGCTCGTCGAGTCTGCGATAGGGACGGCTGTGGACGCGCGTGTTTGTACTAACCTGCGGCCGCGGCGGCCTTGCCTGCGTCGAGAGCTCCGTAGGGCGGTATGCCCATGTGCGCTGGCGGCGGCTGTGTCAGGTGGTCGCCGTTCGAGCAGAAGAACGGCAGCCCACTCGGATGCGTCCCCGCAAGACCCATCTTGCTCGCCTGCAACAAGTACAACAACGCTGGATTAGCCAGACTGCCTGCAGCAAGCTTCCCGTGGAATAATTCATGGCGCGCGACGCTTCGGGTTGGACAATGAGCTTCCTCGACTATCGAATGGGGCTTTCCGACTGGAATAAAGTCGAGTGCGGCGGAGTGGCCAATCGTCGTCCAGGCGCTTTGCCAATGTCAACGAGCTATCGAGAGACGTCGAGCGACGCGCAGTGTTGCCTGCCGGTCCTCGACGACCCGACGAAGCTAATTAGCCCAAAGGATCCAAAAGATGGAGCTCAGAGAGTGAGAGAGAGACAGGGAGAGAAGAGAGAGAAAGAGAGAGCGACCGAGCGAGCGAGCGGAGGACGCCCCCCAGTCTGGTGCTCGTAGCTCGTTTCCATATCGCGCGGCGGCGTCGGTGTCGGCGGGGGACAGCACGGCGATCGATACGCGCAGCAGCAGCAGTAGCAGCAGCAACAACAGCAGCAGCAGCAGTAGCAGCAGCAGCAGCAACAGCAGCCGCAGCCGCAGCAGCCGTCTTACCATGAGGCTGGCGGTCGCGCGCATCGCTCTGACGGCCAGCAACAAGCTGGGCTCGAGCGCCTGGGTCTCCATCCAGCCGAGCACCCTCGACAGTAGCCGCACCACCTCCTCGGCCGAGGCCGGCTCCTCCTCCTCCTCCTGCGTCCGCTCCTCCTCGTCCGAGGACGCCTCCCCGGACTCCGCGGCGTCGCCCTCCTCGAGCAGCCAGTCGTCCAGCTGGCGCTCGTCGACGCGCAGGCCCGCGTCCACCGCGAGTCGCCGCAGCTGAGCCAGCAGCTGGGTCTGCTCGCCGCCCTCGGGCACCGGCCCCCCGGGCGGCCGCCAGCAGCGCCGAAAGCTGCTGGGGCGCACGGACAGCCAAGCGCGGTGCAGCTCGGCGAAGGCCTCCTTGAGCGAGCAGCCGGCGAGGAAGCGCCGCAGGCCCGCCGGCGCGGCCAGGCCCGAGGCCAGCAGCGCGGTGGCCAGCCGCAGCCGCAGCTCGCGCGCCACGGGCCGCGTGCCCAGCAGCGGCCGGGCCCGCGGCGAGGCGGGGCAGACGAGGCGCAGCCGGGCGCGGCCGCCCCCGGCCACGCAGTCGCGCTCGCTGGGCAGGTGCGGGCCCGACTCGGCGAGCAGCAGCACCCGCGCGCCCGGGTGCAGGGCCGCCACCGCCGGCGCGAACTCGGCGCGGAACCACCAGAGGAACAGCTGGGGCGTCAGCCGGCCGCGGCCGCCGCCCGCGTACACCACCGGCTGGCTCAGCATGTTGACCCGGGCGAGGCAGCGCGGCCGCCAGCGCCGCCCGACCACCAGCAGCCGCGTGCGGTGGCGGCCCGCGCGGTCCGCCGCGGCTAGCAGCCAGAGGCGCGAGGCCCTGGCGCCGGCGGGCGGCGCCAGGCCCGGCAGCGCTCGCCAGTCGAGCGCGAGCACGTGGGCCGAGTAGAGCCGCGCCGCGGCCAAGGGCGAGTCCGGCGAGTCCGGCGAGTCCGGCGAGTCGGGCGGGTCCCGGCAGCTGAGGTCCCGCGGCTCCGACTCGGGGCAGCTCGGCGACATGCCACGGCCGGGAGCGCGCGGCGGGCGCCGATGTTGCGGAGCCCGCGAGCGAACGGTAACTGAGCGCCGGGCTGCGACGCGCCCGTCGAAGCCTTTGATGTCGGCCCGAAGGGGCGCGCGCAAAGCCAAACGCTACACCTCGGTCGCCGGCTGTGCCCGTGCCTCTGCCGCTGGCGCGTCACGTGCGCGCGGAGCAGCCACGCACACGCAGCCCGCGCGGAAGGCGCCGCGGAGATAAAAAGATGACGCTATTTATGATGGCCGACCGACAGCGCCCCCTCCCTCCCGCTCGCGCGCCCCTCCAGTGCGGCGCCAGTCGGCCGTCGGCCGGCCGCCGGCAGCCCCGAACTCGTCGCCGCGCACCGCCGGAACGCGCGCGAGCAGCCTCCGCCACGGGCTCGCGGCCGCGCGCTGCCGCCAGCGCGAACGGACGAGGGCAGCTCGCCGGCGGCCGGCGCGCCGCGGACAGTGGGAGGGGGTGGTCGCAGCAGGGGCAGGCCGGCGCCGAGCGCTGCCGGGAATGGAGGCCGGGCGAGCCCAGCAGGCAAGTTGCCGGGGCAACGGCAGCGGCGCCGGCGGAGGAGGCGCGCCCCTTCGGCCCCGAGCCGCTGCGGCTCGCGCCGCCGAGCGGCAGAGTCGACCCGGCCCCGGCGTCGGCCCAGCTCTCGGTCTGGCTGGCGCTGCTGTTCGGCAGTCGCCGTCGACCGCGCTGCTCGAGCTTGCGCCCGAGCTGGCGGGCCGCGCGCGGGGCCTCGCCGCGTTCGGCCGCCCGAGGGCGAGTGCGGAGCGTTCCGAGCACGCGCCCCGGCGGGGGGGCAGGGGGCGGCGAGGAGCCGGCGCGGGGGCGCGGGCTCCATCCGGCGAGTCGAGACGAGGCGAGGCGAGCCGAGAACTGGATCGAGGAGCTGGGGGCGGGAGTGCGAGGCGAGCGAGCGCGCGCGGCGGCTGGTGGGGCTGGGGGATGCGCGACGGGGGCTCCGCCAGTGGAAGCTGCGCGGCCAATCCCAGCGACTCGTCGCCATGGCTACGGGAAAGCGCGGCGAGCGGGGGGCGCTCACCCGTTCTGCTCGCGCGCTCGCGCCTCTCTCCCCGCCTGCCGCAGCCGACGCGCGGCGCACCGAGAGAGCCAAAGTTGGCAAGAGTTTCGGTCCGGCTTAACCCACTTCTGCGAGACGCTGACAACAACTCGAGCCAACCGGACTCGAGGAGCCGGAGCAAACACGCGGGCTCCGCAAGCGCCCGCCGAGCAAAAGCGCAACAGCGCGGCGATCGCAAGCTTGCCGCCGAGCGGACCGCTCGGCGCCCATATGGCGTTGCGAACCTGTAATTTGGCCTTCGTGGAAGCCGCCACCGCCACCGCCACCGCCACCGCTCCGACGCGCCCGGCCGAGTTTAAGCTGCATAAACGTTTATCGAGCTCGCACGCAAACACACCGAACCCACCATTTGCCCGCGAGCTTTATTACTCGCTTTCGCGGAAATCTCGTTAACGAGTCAAGTGCAGCTCTCGCTCTCCGTCTCGCTTCCCGCTCGCGTTAATCTCCTCTTCGCCTCCCTCTGCGCAGACTCCAGCGAGCTATTGTTTACCCGCGTGCTCGTCGGTCTGCAATAATTCGCGGCTCGGACGTTGCGCTAACGAGCGACTTTGAGCGCGCGCTCGTCGTCGATCCGGTCGTTGGCCACAGACTTTACTCGGGCGGCGAGACTCGGCAAAGTTCTGCCGGAAGTTTGCGCGCGCTCGATCAGTCGTCGAGCTACTTTCAACTTCTGGACCTTGACCTCCTCGGCTACGAGTCGCGTCAGCACCACAACGTGAATTCGGCGTGCCGTCGCAGGCCTCGGAGCCCAAGGTGACGGCGGATCGCGGCCGAGGGCCAGATAAGCCGCGTCCGGGGGCACGGCAGTTCGGAGCAGCAGGAGATGCCGAGCGGAGTCTAAACAACGCCAGCGCGGCGGCAGCCTGCTCGATTGCATCGAACGTATGCCGGTGGCCGTGGCGTACTGAGCAAAACGAGCCTTTGTTTTATAAACATTTGGCGCGCGCGGAGACAGCTCGAGTTTAGCCTCGGGAACGCGAGGCAGGCAACGTCGCAGACGCGGCTGTGTGCACAGGCGCAATCAGGCCTCGTTTGAACCGAGAAATCTGGCAAAGACTTAATCAGTTGCAGTCGTTTGCACCAGCCAGCCAGCCAGCCGCCCGCCTCGTTAAGCCGCACAAGCCGCACGGCTTTTCCGCGAGAAGCGCTGCGAGTTGTCGCAAACGGGGGGCGCCGCTCGAGGTGGCGCCCAAGCCGGCCGCGACAGCGGCAGCGCCAGCAGCAGCACGTGGGGCCGCTCATTGGGAAGGAGCTAGGGTGGCAGGATCAAAGGCCGCTAGCCGAGCGGGGGTCGCGTCTACCGAAGGAGGGAGGCGCAGCGCCGACACCAGCGACAAGGCCTCGAGGCGACAACGAGCAAATCTGATTTTCGCTTCACTTGGCCCGAGCGCAGCGCGCCCAGTCGCGGCCGCCCTCGCCGCGACTTTGGCATACTTGGACTGCTCCGGCATCGCGAGCAACGCAGCTTGCCGGCAACTCGTGGCAAAGTTTACGCCGAGGCGCAAACTTTCCGACTTTCCGCGCTGGGCGATCGTTCGATCCGCTGCCCCTCTCCCCTGCTGGCGTCTCGCAGCCGAGGATCGGCGCTGCCGCGTCGTTGGGAACGCAGCCGTCGAACTTGATTACATCTCGCGGAATGCCGAAGCGCGCGTACAGCCAAAGATTTTCGCGCTGCTAAACGCTCTGCCGGAGCCGAGAGAGGGAGAGAGATCAAAGTGCCGTAGAGCCGGGCAACCCGACACGACAGCTGCCACCCCTCCCCGCTCGCGACAACCGCGCAGCAGCAGCGGCAGCAACAGCGGCGCGACGGCAAAGAGCTTACGCGATTTCAGCCAGCGACGCCTTCAGCCAGGCGAGGAAAAGCTCGTTATTTGGATTTTCGAGCGAGAGGAAGGTCGCCGAGTCGGCGCCGCGCGGCAAGGAGGGAGGCGAAAGACGGCCATGCGTGTATCGGGAGGCAATATGCCAAATGGACGCGTGGTGGGAAGCAAGGGAGGCGGCAGCAGGCTGCCGAGGCGCTCGATAGTTGTTTGCTATCTCATTTGAAAGAGGCCAGATTGCAGTGTACCTAGTGGCGTATCATTGTGCCGGATCTCATCTGACAAAGAGTCGCTCGCTTTCTCGCGATAGCATCGCCGGCCCCTCGACTCCTCCCCGTCTTCCGTCCCTTATTACGGCTGCCCATACGCGTCTCCGCTCCGCTTCATTTGCGTGTTTTGTGTCCCGGCTTCCCCGCGGCTCTTAGCAAATTTCACGGGCTCTCTTCCGCGCCGCACTCGGCCGCGTCCCCGCGGACCGAGCCGCGCCGAGCCGCGCCGAGTCGCGCCGAGTCGCGCCGAGCCGAGCCGCTCGCTCCTCGACTCTCCGACGCCCGTACTTTCCCGCGTAGCTCGCGCGTAGCACGCTCCGCAAGCGGGGCTCGTCGAGCAGCGAGCCGCCGATAGCGATCGGCTCTTTCAATATGACATATTATTATTGCGAGCCGCTATTAGAAGCAGAGCGGAGGCGATAAGCGCCAGGTGTCTGACCCCCGTGCCCGATCAAAAAGCAGCGATCGTCGCTCCGACACTCCAGATAGCATCGCTACACGGCTAATGTCACGCTTTTACTGGCGATTACATCGGCCTTGCGCACTCGTTGTCCGGGCAGCTTTGGAGCCGCCGCTACCACTTGTCGGCCGAGCGATCGAACGCCGCGAGCGCGGGCCACCAGCGCGCAGCGTCGATTCTTCGATCAAATATTTGCCACGGCTCGCCGGCGAACCGAGATCGAAGCAGCCCAAGAAGCACGCCAAGGAGGAAAATGGCGCCGCGGCGGCAAATCAGCGCGCGCTCTCATTTCGGCAAAACAGGATTACGAGGGTGCGACGACAGATCAAGTTATTAGTCTCGCGCGAGAGGGGTCGCCAGATTCGTTGCTGCTGGCGCTGTCGGGCCGACGCTCTCCGGCGACGATTGGCCAAGCGATTCGTGAGCCAGCGAAGACGCGGGCGGCGGCCAGGCAGCGGGGGTGTTAGGCGGCGAGGCCAGAATCCGACGGAAGTATGCGCTGGATATTCGGAATATTCATCGGGGGCAGAGGCAGAGCGATATGAAAGGAGGAGGCAGGCCGATAGCACTCGAACGCGTCGAACATAAACAGCCGGGCGAGCGAGTATATGCATCGGACAGGCAGGCAGGCAGGCAGGCAGGCAGGCGGGCGAGACGAGCCGAGGTGTGCGGCTGAGTGCGTGTGTGTTTTTTGCATCGACGACGAAATCGATGTCGGCTCGTAGGGAAAGCGGAGGCGAGGAGGCGCGCGGGGCCGTGAGCGGGGGATAGCCGATAGCTAGGACTCGTTCTTTAGTCAATCCCCCGCCCCTTTTCAATCGAGACTTCAAACGCTGCAGCGGGCGCGGAATCATGATTGGAACGGGCGCTCGGTTGCGCTAAGCCGAGAGAGAGAGAGAGAGAGAGAGAGAGAGAGTCGAACCGCCCCTTGCCTCGACGCTCTCGCTCTTGCTCTCTCTCTCTCTCTCTCTCTCTCTCTCTCTCTCTCTCTCTCTCTCTCTCTCTCTCTCTCTCCTTTTCTCCCTCCTGGGTTCGTGTGCCGCTGGTGCCCGGCCAGCAGCCTCGTACCCCGCGCCCAACTCATCATGAAATTCCTAGCATTCAATCGCAGCGCTCGTCTAGCCGCCGTATTACGGGCCGTCCTGGCCTACTCGGCTGCCCGAGTGCAGCAGCTACGTGGCCGCCGAGGAGAGCGGCTTGCAAGCTCTCGCGGAGCGCTCGCCAATATATAGGGCCCTATCCCCGCAATTCGGAGCGCCGCGTAACTCGCGCAGACACGCCCGGCATCCTACTGAGGCGCTGACCACATTCCGGGGCAAAGCGAAGCAAAGCTCGGATTCTTCCGACTCGCCGAGCCGCCGAGCCGCCGAGCCGCCGCGCGACCGTAGCCGAGCCGCGCCAGCCATGGTTAATCGTTCGCCTAGGTGCTCGCGTGTACGCGCGTACAGCGGCGCCCCGAGAGCTCGAGACAAGTCTTTGCTGTCAGCGCCAGCAACCCCAGCCTCGCAGCAACCCGTTCCGCGCCGCGTTCGCCAATGGCAGACAAGTGAGAACGAAAGCGCTGGCTGCCGTTGCTGTTGGCGTACTCGCGTCCCGGGATCCGGAAAAT